AGCTTGGCTGAACTGTCAGAAATCATCTCCATTATAGGAGATGCACTGGATCCAAGGCATCTGTCTGTGGGGATGTCCACTGTTTGTTCTGGTGGTGTTGGAGGGGAATTCATCTTTTGGTGGGATGTCGTGGAGAGTCAGAAATTTAACTTCTTGCAGCAGCTGTTCTCTACAGAACAATCTTCTTTCTTAGTCTGCAGAGGCTCACCCCATCTCCCTATCCTGCATGCAGTTGAAAAATACTGACCCACTATAACAACTGCAGGAATGTCGTGGTTTGCGTCTCCGGATCTTGTAACAGTGCTAGAGCAAGGTAGGTTGAGGAATGAGCATGAGTATGATGTAAAAACTTAATGAGTGGTAGGGGTGAACTGTGCCTCTCTCAATGCCGCTGGCACCAATTTGGCAGTTTGTTTGTTTTCCTTCTACTTCAGTATGTGGAAGCGTATGATAAAAAAGGAAGTTGAAATAATTAACCTAAAGCAGAACAGATCTTTTTAACAACCTTTTTTAGATCCTTAGGTTGCAGAGGATTTCATACACTTTAAGGGTGAAAAACTTGGATGGTGAAGAATATGGAGATTGTTTTGGGTTTTTTTTTTACATAATTTTAAAATTCTGGGATTGAAAGTACTGGTGATAGCGTAGTTGGGCAGCTGCTCTCTGCTTTATAAGCATTAGGGTGTGATTTTTACTAAGCTGTTACAAAAAAAAAACATTGTGGATCAGTTCCTAAAACTTATGTCTGGAGCCTGGATTGCTTTTTGCAAGGCAGGAGGCAGCCTGGGTGACTTTCAGAAGGTGCGTGTTAGTTGGACAGACTGTGGGATGTGGCAGAGGACAGTTTGATGGAAGTAAGATTGTGCGTGGTCCTGGGATTTAGAGCAAGTCTGAATGTGGTACAGTGCAGGAGAAGGAGTTGCAGAAAGCAGAGGGAGGTGAAGTGGTCAGGTCAGAGCCTGAGGAAGCTGTGGGCAGCAGCTCTCCCTGTGAATGGGAGAGGGCAACATGAGTGTGGGAGAGCCTGAGGAGGGGAGGCTTTAATAATCAAGTTGGGAAATTCTGATGGCCTCAACAGCAACAGTTTTAGTTGTGAAGCTTCAGAAAAATGTTTCCACATTTTTACTCAAGAATTAAAGTCCACGTGCAGACATGGACTGTTTTCAGTAGTAATGTTCATTTGTGGCTGCTAATAAAAGGTGTGGGGAACCAGACCTGTGTAGCTTTTTGAATTGCAAATGAAGAAATGATAGGACATAAATCTGTTCTGTTATATGCATGTCCTCTGTGAGGAGTGCAAAGCTTTTGCAACTATCAGCACACTGTGCGCAGGAACCAGCGTGTTTGACAGCACGTTATCCTGTTGCAAGTTACCTGCTTATTTTGAGCTTTCTATCGCAGCAGAGCTTCTTACAAATGAATCTATCCTTGCTCCTTTCAAAGCTCAGGTTTCATTGCCTTTAAGTCAAAATTACCTGGTCCTTTTAATTACCCCATGCTTTATTCTGTTAGATTTGGCACAGCACGCAGTATTGAAGGAATTACCAATCCAGATTGACCCTTCCAGGTAAAACCCGTGCAGAATTCAGGAATAAGTGAATTTTTCTGAAAGCTAAAGTGAGCCTGCATCCTTTCTGAGAGGAAGGGAGCAGGGTTTAAGCAAGGATTAGGCAGTATGTGCTCTCAAAGTCAACAGTCAGTAGAGTCTGCTTGTTCCATACCCCTGTGGCAGCAGAAGCTGTCTTGTCTTGATTGCCTCTCCCTTTGATGCTGCTCTGTGCAATACCTGCCATGTTTGTATGTATCAGTGGTGTGGTGACAAGAGCAAGCGCTCATGCATTTATATTGTTTTGTGGGACTCAGAAATATCTTTGAGAACATTTCTACTTGCTTCACTTGAGGCTGTTCCTGCTGAAGGCTCAAAGAGGTAACCAGTAAATCCGGACTTCTCCCTGGGAGCCCTGAGGAAGTATTGGTACCTGCTGGTTGTTGCCAGACTTGAAAACAGAGAGGCTTGTGTTCACTCCTCTAAGCATTTTGCCCAACTGGGACCTTGGTAAGTATGCTTAAAAACTAAAAGAGAGCTGAGAAATTACTCATGCTTCCCTGTTTAGAAGTGTGCTGGTAAGAAGGAAAGTCATCTCTAGTTGTAGCTCCAAGGAGTAATCTCCTTTCCAGATCAAGGAATTTCCCACAGAAATGCTATGGAGGAGTTTGTAGACTGCTGCTTGGGTGCGGCTGTGTGTTTTCCAAGGCTCAGGAGAGGTAATGCTCTTTACTGCAGGACTTCAATTTTTTACCAAAATCTTCAGGAAATCTGCATTTGATGTTGTGGAACATCAGGGCCAACTTTTGTCTTGGACTCCTCTTAAAAAATACCAAACAAACCCAGCCAGAAATGAGAATTGAAAAGAAAGGGCTTTTCATTTGTAATAGCTTTCTTGGGTTTGAATTTTGAAGGGGCTCAGTGTTGTAGAACCCTTCCCGGTGTGACATCTTGTACATAAAAACGCTGAGGTCCTGACAGGGCTGCCAGAGGGAATCATGCACAGTTAGCTGCTAGATGTGTGCACGCATGACTGCCTCCCTGCCCTTCACTCCAAGAGGGAGAAAAACAACTCTGCCCTGAAAAAGGAGGGAGGGGGAAGAAGGAAAAGACTATTTAAAAGTAGATTGAGTAACTAACCTGTCTGGAAGCCTGTCTGCCTGTCCGTGAGCTGCTGAGTGACTGTGATGCTGCTGTCAAAGTACCCGAGTGCGCAGAGCCATGTGAACTTATCCCATCAGTAAGGGAAGATGGTGCAAGTCCAGTACTGAAAATTAGATCCCCCATCCATCTAGACGTTGAGGATGTCTGAGAAACTTAGTGCAATTTAATGTTTGCATATAATGTAAAGTACCTGGCATAAAGCTTGGGTAAACCCTTCTGATTTCATGCTCTGCATAGAAAGATATAATTCAGCTTTGAGTCAGTTACATACACAAAGGGGCCTTAGATGCTGTGCATGGTGCAGTGCAGAATTGGGTGGGTTTCTGTAGCTCTGATTGGAAAAGTTAGACTCTCCATGCCACATGAGCATTGTGTCAAGTCTTGCAGGCTAGGTTATATGAAACTCTTGTCTCACATTCATTTAATTTTAGGCTCTGCTCCCCTAGTTAGTCTGAGACAAGTATTTGTGTTTCTTGGAAACTAAGGTCCTGATCCAAAGGCTATTTAAAGTGTAAGGACTGATTGCACTCTGTGCAAAACCTGCCTCTCCCTACCTCTGGGGTGGAATACAACAGTATACAACCAGGCCTTCCTAGGCTGGCAAGAGCAGCTGTTTGAGCATCACGCAAGGCAGGGGGGGTGTATCTCCTGTACATTCTGTATTTCAGGTTGTGCCTGAAAGCTTGGCTTTTACATACACCTTTTCTGCTGCGGTAGTCAAATCCTGTGCCATGCTGCTGAGATTATAGCATATGCAAGAAAATGTGTAAGGGGCCCCAAAGTGCCCATCTTTGATGGGTGGGAAGAGGCTGGAATTAGCAAAGCTTCTCCCTTTGCTTGAGCCTGGGGTTTTCTCTGGTGCTCAGAATGTCCTGACTTCTCTCCCCATTGTCAGCATTGATGTCTGTAGGATTCTGACCAAACGTGTGGCTTTGGACTTGCCACACTAGATTTTGTGGGGTAATAGAATGTTACAGGGACAAGCTAGAACAACAGCCAGTTTTCAGGGAATTTATTGTGCATCTTCTTTTTCTGGATATTCCTTACTGCTTTTGGATATGCATGTAAGCAAAGCCAATTTGGCTGCCACCTTTGGTTATGGGGAAGGACTATGGAAAAGGTGTACAGCAGCAGTATTCAAGTTTTATTTTTGCAGGCTAATAGTTCTTGGTTTCCAAGACAGTTGTGTACCATTCTGTGCTGTGCTTTAACTGTACAAGGAACAGGCTTCTGGTTTGTTGGTTAAACTTTGTGAATCTCAGAATCTGTGGGTTCTGCTTGTACTGCAGGCTGCCAGATCAGAATAAGCAGAGTAGGGCATTTTGATTTCAATATAGCTGTGGTGGATCATGCTGAATGGTTTACCATGGCTGAGCTGCACTACACAGCTCCTTACAGGATTGAAATTCTTGTGATTTGCAGCTTTTTATTCCAGAAGCTTGTTGTCCATTACTGACAACCTCTCCTATGGTCAGTTTAAATGTGACTAGGTTAGATTTAAATAATAATAATTTGTTAAAAAAGCACTGCTGAGAGCTTTGTAGGGATCACAGAAGTCTAATGACTTCATTGAAGGCTGTAGCTAACTTAAGCATCTTTGGATCAGGCCATACTTCCCAGTGCTGTTTGCCAAGGGAATTGGTATCCCTACAGGTTAGGAGTGGTTTGCATGGAGTTTCTTAACTTGCCTCTGCCTTAACAGAGTGATCCAAATTCCCTAACCAGACAGGCTTTGCCTGAAGTGTTGTTTCATGTGAGCATCTTTGTTGGTTGAACAGCAGAAAAAAAAAACCTAAGAGTGGGAATGTTTTCAGGTAGCACAGCTTTAGCAAGGTGTCTCTGTGCTTGCAGTGCAAGATAAAGGCTCTTGGAGGTAGGCAGGGTTCTTTCTTTGCTGTGTTGCACCTGAACACATGCTCCATTTATTGCACACAGACCATATATATGTTCTTTATTAAGAATATACATAGGATGTTATACACAGCGATGTCTTTTAATATCTTGCAGAGCACTGGTAAGCAAAAGTGAGAGTTCATAGTCACCAGTCAGTGTGACTGTTGAGCTGCATGGTGAAATCCTTCCCTGTGCGTGGCCTCTGCACTAGAGAGGCTTTCAGTAAAACCTGATGACTGAGGTTTACTGGTACCTTCACTAGAGGAACAGAAACTAATTCAGGAGAAAAATAATTTTTCCACTTGTTACCTGAACTGTGAAGTTCTGCTTCAGCTGAGTGGTGTGAAATTATTACCTTGAAACTGCTGATTAGATTGAGCTCCGTTTTTCATTATAGGCTCTATCATAACAGAGAAAATGGACACTTCTTCTGGATCTGGTCTCGGCAAACACTTGAAAGCTGTTGCCTGTTGATGTTGCACTCTTCTCCGTGCAGGTAAGCAACATTTAGCTTAGTCACAAAATTGTCTGTTGACTGTAAACCACCGGCAGGACCTTGAATCTCTGTTAAGTTACTTTGCTTTTTAACCGTCCGATAAATATTGTTTCTGCACACTCATGCAGCTGTGTTGTAATTGCTGAAATTAGTTGGCAGTGTCGTGTTTGATCTTATCATTTGCTCCCCTTCCCATTAATTAGCTTACAGCTCAATGACAATTAGCTTTGGAGTCTTTCTGCATTTCATTGTGGGGAGTTGATGCAGTTCTGGAATGTGATCACACTTTGCTGTACTATATTCAAACATTGAAAGAATAGGTGGGCACTGCTCAGCAAATACTTAGAATGTGAATGTATCACACTGCACGGGGTGTACATAGGGATTTTCTCTAGGCTGCTTATTTACAGCTTTAATGGCACCAACAGTTGTTAATTCAGTGACTTGCCTCAGGCATCAAGTAGTTCATTTGTATTCTCAGGAACAGGGCTTGCTAATTTAAAAATAAGTTTAGTCCCATACACCACCTCTTCTCTGCCCGTCCACTACAGATAGGTTTTCTTTTGTGTTCTGTTTTTTAATTCATGTGCTCCCACTGTAATGATGATGTGGCCTTAGAATCTGTCTGTTTGGAAAGTTGGCCTGGTAAAAAGCAACCTACCGAAAAGCCTCCTAACATTTTTTCTCATCAGATCAACTTGCTGAGTCTATTTGCTTTAAAGGTTTGTAGTTAATTCTGTGGGTGAAAGGAGCGGGGCTGTGACCAGCCTTCTCTGGGACTACACTTGAGGTAGATGAGGTCAGAGTGTACCTGTGGTACCCCACCCTGCAGTTTACTTACATTGAGATGTTCAGAAGGGATTGATTTACAACTTTACTACTACTAATAAAAAATACTGGTACAATGTTAGGTTGGTAGGGTTTTTGAAATCAGAATTTCACCTTCTAAAGCTAGCATGTCTCTTCTGTGTTCTTGTTGTATACTTCACGTCTTTTTTGGCTCTGGACATGTAAGTATGGCCACATGATGTTGCTTTCATATGAATGAAAATGGTATTTTCCATACTGCATTTTATCTTCTACACAAATGCTTAGGAATCCTAAAATGCTCAGGACTTGGCTTTCTGCTCTTAAGGGTCACTCTTGAGCATGACCTTGGGCTATGCTTTTAGGGTTCTTTTCTCACTAAGCTTCACAACAAAGCTGGGTGGTACTGTGTGGAACAAGTCTTTAAATGAATGGCACTTCTTGCATTCCTGGGAAACTCTTTTGCTGTCATGAAACTCCAAGTGCAGGAGAAGATGATAGGAGGTGGTGGATTGTGGTTTGTGGGGATCTTCATTTTTTGTAATAAAGTCAAACAGCTGAAAATGTTCTTGCAAGCTGTAGCTCCAAAAGACTACATGGCAGAGGAGGTATTCTGTGTGGGACTTCCTAACTAAAGCTCTGATGCCTTGATTCCTGTCTCCTGGCAGCTGTTTGAACTGAAATTGACAACTGCCTACTTCCATGTTTGTTTGCTACTTCTCCAGCAATTGCTTCAAAATATTTGTATTGTTTTATAGGTTTTAACTAATCTATTTATGTAAGTCTTAGCTACCATTCAGAAAAAGCCCAAGTATAAAAACTTTCTAAATGCAGGTAAAATTCAGTTGGTGTGACTGGATATATTATTCATGGCTATGCATAATTAATAACCTTGTAACTCACCAGTGACAGCAAATCAGATACAAAAGGGAATCAATAAGGACATAAATACTTGAAATAAATAATGTATCTGCTTTCAGGTTGTGAGTCCATCACTTAAATACCAGTGGTTTTCCTTGCATGGTTTTTATATCTTTGCTATTCAGTAGTGCTTGTTTTAATTTGATCAGTTTGCCTCCTGCCACTTAGGCAGAGAAGGTTGTGTGTTGTTTTCTAATTAGATGATGAATTCATTCTTTATCTTCCCTTCTGGTTCTGCTTTGGATTTCTATTATCAGAGTAGCCTGGCTACTGATTTCAGTAAGACTTGAATTATTTACTTGCTCTCCTGGGACATACAAACAGAGTGCGCAGAGCACTTAGTTTGAGTGAGTCTGATGTCTCTGAACTCTTGCTGGAGAAAGCATAGGAGATAGTTTGTGAAACCACTCCCCTCTTTTCCATGTTTGGGTGGGCTGAACAAAACAGTGGTTTAAGATACTTTTGAGTTGCAGGTTCCTGCTGTGTACCAGGCATATGACTCCTTGCCCCCTCCCACCTAATCCCATGAAGCTGGAGAGCCCAACAGGAGGGAATTAGGGTCAGAATCTAATGGTCATGCTGGGATTGTGTGAAAAGGCTGTAGCTCAGATTCTGATCTCTGTATCATACTCAAATATGAAGAAAGAAGGAAAATAAAAGAAAATAAAAAGTAAGAAGTATTTATTTTTAGGACCTGGCTTTCTGTGGCTGCTGTAGGGCAGTGACTGTTTCGCACTCTTCAATTTGTGTGGAAAATTCTTGGCTTTTAAAAGAAAAATGTATGCTTATAGTTACTACATTTATTAGAAGCCCTGGGTGCAATTGTTCTGTGCAGTTGTCCTTCCCCTTTCCCATCCCCAAAGGCCTCTAGAGGCACAGCCACAGTTTCAAAGTTCAGTTGAATCAATCACAGTGCTGTATTCGGATATACTCACCAGCAATTCTCCAGTCCCTGCAACTGTTTGCTGTCTCCTGGTGCTCCCCTGGTCCTGCAGACTTCTGAATCCTCTGGAGCTGGATACTTCAGAGGGGTAAATGGAGGAAGCACTGTGTACCTCTCCTTTTTCCTTCACCCCATCTACTGCTTATAGGACTTTGTTTAGAAATTCTTCCTCCTAAACCCCACAGAGGCTTTTGATCTAGCACCACACCTGCCTTCCTGGCCTTATGCCTCCTTTCCTTCCCCAGGTTAGGGCCGGGTAAGGGTGTGAAGTGTGGGGACTTTGGGCTTATTAGTTCTGTGCTGTGGACAGGTAAGGGAAGGTGTGAATGTTGCTCCTTTGCATGTGTAAAGAGAGCCTGCTGGAGAGCCAGAGCCTGGATGTATTAGCAGGGAATGTGGATTCTTTCTAGTTTTTGTGGCCTCCGTTTCCTGTACTTGTTCACCTCACTGTCCTGGCTGCAGGGCACTGGGCCATGTCTGGTTGAGCTCTGTGTTAGGGTTTGCCAAATTTAGGAAGGCAGATGTAAGATACAGTGTGTTGTTTTGGTAGAATGGTCTGTCCGAGGGACATTATTTTAATGTTAAAGGGATTGGACAATTCTTCCCTGCCTAAAAAGTTGCCTTTTCTTTGTCATGTTAATTATGTTTAAATACCAGAAGCTGTGTTGAGTGTTGCCTATAGGAGGGCTGGTATGTGGAGACGGGGATTTACCTGCCGTTCCCCAGTGTAAATGGGGATAAGAAAGGGATAACAAACAAAAAATATACGCCTATTTCAAGGATTTTCAAATCAGTTACTGATAGGTTAGAATACTTGGAAACATCTAAAGCAACACTTAGAAGAGGAGCTTCTCTCTTGTTTTCTGATACATAGGCATTAAACTGCAGTCTTAAGTAAATGAATGAATGAGCAAACAAGTTGGACAACTTTTAAATGGTTGCAAGGTTGCGTTCCTTATAGCAAGAGCTTTCTAATACCTCATTCCTTGACACCTTCATCCCTAAAATACTAGGCTTTGAGGAAGAGCTTTTACAAATCAGCTTTGAGATGTTTAAATATTCAGTTTATGCTTGGCGGGGCTGACACTGTCTTCAGATCAGATTTCTGCTTTTAAAATGCAGTTGTTGCATTGATCAGCAACACAAAGTGATCGGGTACATTTATTGTTCCATGGATATGAGCTAGCAAGAGGTTTCTCATGCGTCAGCTGTCTCGTGGAAGGGAAGCAGGCAAGGCAGGAAATTTGACAAGGAAGAAGAGAGGGATTGCATCTTGTTCTGTAGTGGGTTTGTCCAAGAGAAGTAAGCAGAAACACATTTGGAACCTCAGACAAAAAGATATGCTGCAAAGTATAGACAGAGCATAGTTTTAGGTCTCCTTAGGTGCCACTTGGATGATAGCATGTACTTTTGTGAAGGAGCTCAATAATGCTTTTAGCTGCTTTTTTTTTTAAAAAAAAAGGGGGGTGGGGGGGTGGTATGGTTTCATTCACAATATACACTGAATTTTTCAGAGCTCACCCCTCAAAAAGAAAGAAAACTTAATCAGTTATATCGGTAAATAGAATGAAGGTCTTGAAAATGCATCATAGAGTCACAGACTGGTTTGGTTTGGAAGGGACCTTAAAGCTCATCCAGTTCCAACCCCTGCCATGGGAACACCTTTCACTAGAGCAGGTTGCTCCCAAGCCCCTTCCAGCCTGGCCTTGAACACTGCCAGGGATGGGGCAGCCGCAGCTTCTCTGGGTACCATGTGCCAGGACCTCACCACCCTCACAGGGAAGAATTTCTTCCTGATGTCTCATCTAAATCTCCCCTCTGCCAGTTCAAAGCCCTTGGCTTGTCCCTACAAGACTTGTAAAAAGCCCCTCTCCAGATTTCTTAAGGTGTTGGTGTACCCCAGGCAAAAGTGTTTCTCTGAGTGGGATGTGAGATGACAGCTTCTCTTGGAAGTATGATCTTGCTGTAAGAAATACAGACTTCTACCCTTATGTCTGAGTCCTTTTTGCCATAGTGGGAGGAAGAGAGATGATCTTAGAACTATGCAGGGGTTTCTAAATTGCTTTCTACAAGACTTTTTGCCCGGTCTTGCCAAAGAGCTTGTGATAATCATGATTAGATACAAGGCGGTGGACCAAATAAACCTGGTTCAATGTAGTGTAAAGATTTCTGTGTTTCCAGCCCATTTCTCCTAGAACCAATCCATTTTTGTAAAAGAGGCATTCTAGTTCTAGTGTAGTGATAAAAAGGGATGATAGTGTTCATTTGAATGAATTGGCTCATGATTTGCACTAGAAAGTTGATAGCAAGTGAAATAAAATTGCTTCCACCAGATTTTATTACTAATAAATTGTAAAAAAAATCCCCAGCCAGCAAAGCAGCCAAACAAACAAAAAGCCACCCACAGCAGATCCAGAAGTTCATGTCTGGCTGCATCTTTTCCTGGAAGCAGTTAGACTTTTCCGTGGTAACTATATTTGAACTTCACTGAAAAGCCTTTTAACTTAATAGTAGCAAGTCTAGCAAATATATTAGTTCTTCAGAGAGTTCTCATTGCATGTAAAGACATTGCATGTCTTAACATGCATGTGACACAGCCAGCGTGCAGCTGTGGGGCATGAGAATGCATTCTTCTTCCTACTTGGAGCTGATTTGAGTAGAGTTTGCCAAGCTCCAGTTTTCTGTCTTCTGGATTTTTATTTTTTTTTTTTTTTTTTTAAATGGAATGCCAGAGTAAACCACACGGGACAAATATTTCCCAATTTAAAAATTGCTAGAAATTGCTGGGAAGGGATGAGCAGGCACTCGGGGACTCTTTAAGCAGTGCAAGCGCTCCATCTACAGGTTGAAACGTTTGCTAAGGTCATCATTGTGTAGCGTGATCAGAGTGCTTTCCTTCGGTTATGTTCATGCAAGGACCACGTAGCCAAAACCAATGAGTCCACCAATGTGATTGTGAGCAACCAGCTTCCAACTTGTCTTGTTGGTTCCGTGAGAAAGGGTAAGGTTGCTGCATGTGAAGGGGCAGTAGCCCAGAGGTAGGTAAAAGCCAATATTGGCATGAGGGGAAAAATGAGTGTGAAATCGCTGTGTGTAAGTTTAGGTGGCAGCTGGAAGATGATTTCAGTCGCTGTCAGTGTGAAGTTTGAACAGCTTCCCAGCAGTAAGACGGGGGATTGAGAAACCCAACTAGTTTAAAGTGATTTTGATAAGTTTGTGGCTGTGGTATCAAGGTGCTGGATTCGTTGACTTGAGTGGTACCTTTCAAGGCAGCGGTCAACAGTGTTCTTGGGACAAGCAAAACATTCAAGAGGGCAATAGGATCCAGTCTCTTTATTTTTGAGGCTCTTTGGAAGACTCCAGTCAAATGGCTTGTGAAAACACAACAATGTGTTCTTACCAAGATCTGGACAGATAAACAGCAGCAAGGAGTTTTCCCATATAAGCCTGCCAATGTGTCTCCATTCAGAGTTAGAGATGCATTCCTGGGGTAGGAGCATAATTCGGTCAGCATGTCTGCTAATTGGCCTCTGGCTGCCAGTCCAGCAACAGATAAGGCCTTATTTACCCAAGAGAGAGAAACACAATCTTGAACACATCTTAAATACAGTTCAATTTAAGGACAAAAAGTAGAACATTAGGAAAAATGTTCTTAACTCATTTAGCTTTGTTCCTAGGTAAAGATGGAAAAACTGCTTTATAAAAAAACAGGATACTTACTAGGTATGTGTGTGCTGTATGTAAAAATCATCTTGTTTATTGATAGTACTGGGGTATCTTCATCGGTCTGGTGCAGTGCACATGAAGCAGTTGATAACTTCAAGTGTTTTCCAAAGGGACAACTCAGTAACTGGTGTTTAGAAAGAGTCTGAAGAGATGACTGGAAATCACTGACCCAATGACATTAGTTTTTGATAAACTGTGGAAGATAAGGCACGTGTTCCAGAAAAGCACAGCAAAGAGTTACTTGTCCAGACATCTGTCTGAAACAAAACAGAGGGGACATCAGTGGTGCCTTGAGAGCAGAAATGACTCTTGAGAGAGTTTTATGGGACATAATTCTTGTCAAAAAGTGTGTGAGGAATTACAGGTTTGTGTTTAGTAGCAACACTGAGTGTATACATGATCGCTTTGCAAATGCCTACCTTTGTTGCTTCAAAATAATGTTAATACATCCTTAGAGCATGTGTTGAAAGGTTTAAGGACCAGTTAGCAAAGTTTTAGTAGGAATAGTTAGTGGGAATCCGTATCAAATCTGTGTTTGAGATTCTTTTCCTCTGCAGTGATCTGTGCTGTTCAGTGCTTTCATAAAGGTCTGGAAGCAATTGTGGTGACAGCTGTTCTGCAGCAGTGAATCATACGCAGCAATGCATATTTCTTGGGGCCTCTTTCTGCAGAGGAACAACAAAAGCATTTCAGCAAGGCAAATTTGAAATTAACATCTATGAAGGAGAAACACAAGGACTTCCAACACATATGGGACTGTATTATTAAGTCAAAATAGGGTTTTAATGATTGTAGTGGACAAGCAGTTCAAAAGAAATTCTCAGTGGGATAAGTAGAAGGCCTCCTCTGGTTCTTGGTGGTATTAAAGGCAAATACTTAGTAGAATGCATGTGGATGTACAGAAATAGACATGCACAGAAACATTTTTTCTACATGCAGTGTTGATGAAATTGATCCTGGAATGCTTGGAATAATATATCCTGTTTGGGTGGCAGGATTTTCCTTTTCTTTATTAAAAAATTAAAAACCTAAACACCCAACCAAGCAAACCATGAAATGTCAAAAAAACAGTCTAAAGGCTGAAGGAAGTACTTTGAGCTCTGGAATTCCTTATTTTTTGTAGTAAAAATAGGGAAAAGATTGGTAACTAAAGAGTCTAATATCTGAGACATGTCCTTTTCAGCAGAGAAAGGAGATGTGTGAATGGTAGAAATTTTCCCCAGAAAGAAGCAGGGAGAAATATGCATGGCTGTAGTGTTAGGGATTAATGTTAAGTAAACCAAGAAGTTGGTTCTGTGTTCTGTAGTATCTTTTAGGAGGAAGCCAAGGGCTGTATGTGAGGTGACTGTGCTTCACAGAGTGAAGTGAAAAGTACAACAGCCTTCAATGAACAGGCAGTGAGATTGGTGAGTCTGGAACTAGTAACACAGTATACTCCTCTGGCCCTGTTCAGCTAATGTACCAGCTGCCCTCTCTTAAATATGGGTGTATGTCTTAGTCCTTCCTCTCACATCTCATCTCTAGGAGGTGAAATAGGTCAGTCATAAGGACTTTTGGCTTTCAAAGTGATCCTGTCAGCAAACTGGTATCCTGCAGGCACAGGGCTGTGGTCGGGCAGGTCCTGCATCTCCAGGTGCGTTTGTACTCAGGTGTAGTAACAGCATGAGTTAAAGCAGCAAAAATGCTTGATTGCATATCATGTGTTTCCTGGGCTGTCTGGGAGCAGAAGAGGACCCTGCTGTGCTGTAATCAAGCATATTTCTTTATTCCAGATCTTGACACACAAGAAATGCTGTTCGCTCTTCATCAAACCCCAAGCTGCTTAATAAGGAACAAATTCAATGTATTCCAAGCACAAGGCAATCTAGTTTACCAATGATCTTAATAAAGTCTAGTCAGCAATAGAACCTAGTAGTCACAAGTGATTTTCCTTGAGTGTCCTGATGAGGGAATGCTGTTCAGTTATCTGGATTCCAGCAAACAACTGGCATACATGCTGCAGACAGAAAGGGAGAGTGAGGGAGAGGTCTTTAATTATTTTCAAGTCAGCAAAGATCAGCGTGTTGAATCAAAACAGATGGAGTGTATAATTCACTGGCAATATCATGATTGGGTAAATATAGTTACATGGCAAAGAGGAGGAAGGCAAAGCAAACGGAGAAGACTTTTCTTGTGGGTAGGCTTTGAATGTTGGTATATTTACACTGTTGCCACTAGGCAAGGTGGAAGCGTAAATACAGCATCAGAGCCAGCCTTTCTGTGGTGACTTTCAAGGCCGCTCTGGGGAAGTGGCTGGGTCTGGGAAAGTCAGTTCCCTGAGGAACCTTGAGCTTTGCGTTCTACTGGCTGTGGGTGTGTTGCAGATAGCAGGTTTGTGAGTCTCCTGGTTCTAGGGGGCACAGGTTTAATTCTTTTCCTGGGGTGCACTTCAGACGTTTCTGCAGTGACTGCAGATCAGGCTGGACTTGTCAGACAAAGTAGTTGAAGACATTTCCTGGACATCTGTAACCTGGTGGGATGTGTGCAGAGGTACCATACAGCTGCCATATAGAGTTTCAATACTGGTGGAAACTCTGTTCTTTCTGGTTCCCAGTTTCAAGGTTTGAAGTTACACTAAAATCACCTTCACTCCAGACCAAGAGGTAGTGGGAGAACTGATGTGACAAGCTTATCTAAGCCCAGCATGAATGAACTTCCAGCCAGAAACCAACTGTGATGACCTACACTGATGGTACAGGGTTTTTGTTCTGATGCAAGCTGATAGGGACAGGCCAGTGGCCCTTTCTGCAGGGAGTGCTGGTGTTAGCTGATGGTTAGAATGGCTTAGAGTTGTGAGAAGGCAAGTAACTCACTGGTGGGTGGTGGTACAGCCTGTTGCCCCTGTAGTACAGCTGAGGGTGCTGGGTTGTGCTGTGTGCTCAGTTGCAGGGATGTTTTCGTAGGCTCAGGTGCTGCCCTGTGTGTCTTGGACAGGAATCCAGGCCAAACAAGTATGTAGAGAGAAGCTCTTCAGGCTTAGCAAAGTGTGTGTGCTTGTAAGACTGGCATGAGTCTTACATGCCACTATTTCTAAGCCCTGATGTAAAAGGCACCCTAGCTATTGTACTTTGGATGACACTCAAGTGCATTTTAATGACTGTTAAGTCAGTGCAAGTATTTGATCAATAGATGGAAACAGGCAGCAAGAGCAGTGTCTGGAAAGGCGGTTTGTTTACCTGGAGGCAAAGCACTGCTTACCCTCACACAGCTGCAGATCTGTTCCCCCATTAGAGCCCAAATGGTACAAGGCAAACAAGAAATGAATTGAGTGCCTGAGATGAGTGTAGAGTTTTTTCCTCCCTTTCGTTCCTCCTGTGTGGATAGGAGTGGGACTTGAGCTGCTGTGCTGAATATACCAGAAGCAGCACTGAACAGAGCTTTGGGTAAAATACTGCTTTAATTCTTTGTCAAACTCTTTGGTAGAAGTACCATGCTTCCTTACTAAAGGATGGCTCTCTGTATCAAAATCAAATGCTACTCATGGAGGAACACGGAGGTGAGAGGAGTTTTGCCATGCTTTGTTCTGGAGAGATTAGCTAGTGCTCCAGCAAAGCTGTGGTCACAGGTTTACTCAGTGTAGATCTGATATGCCAGAGGCAAGGGGGTGCAGCCAGTGTGTATTTCTGGTTCTGCAGGTACCCTTTCACCTCATAATACTCTCAGGTAACCTTGGACCTCTGCTTTTCGAGTACCTGCTTTCCTTTGTCTCTCATGGCCTTTAAAAAAGGACCATGAGAGAATACAAGCATCTTGCAGTGCTTGACACCTTCTAATTGAACCAAGCCATAAAGAAACTGGGTTTTCCTCAACTATAGTTCTAACTCCTTGTGTAAGTTCCTTGTATTAGTCCCCCATCCCTTCCTCCCTTTCCCTACCCCCACCACTTTGGGGGTGGAGGAAAATCACTCTCGGACATTAACCCATGTATCCATTCTGTAATTCTGTGATTCTATTTATGTACAGTCACATGCTTAAATATTTACTTTGTTAAATAGAAGGGTAGTGGAAAACCCTTTCTTGGTTGAGGAGGCAATAGGCATATGGCATGTATTTATTCTTTCTGGCTGCTTCCTTTATCCCCTTTCAGTTGTCTGCTAGGATTTGCTCTCAGTTCCAAACCTGTGCGAGTTCAAACAGCTGCAGGAAACCAAATACATATTTCTATGGCATACAACTGAGCTTTCTGTATAAAACAATCTATTTTGTAGCTCTTTGATTAATAAAGATACTCTGGTTGAGAGGCTTTTCGCAAGAGTCCCATAAGAGTTTGGAATTCATTCCCACCACAGAAACAGATGCAGACACAGCTTTGTAGTTGAAATTATTGTTTGAGAAAATCCTAACTTCTCTGAGTGCTCACTATGGATTTGTTAGTGTAAAACTTAATCAAATGAACAAAACTGATGTAGAAGCACCTGGTTGTTTTTTGTTTGCTTTTTTTGTTTTTTTTTTTTTGTTTGTTTTTTTTTCAATAGGTAAAGTTGAAAAATATATAAATCTACCTTAAGTGTAAAACACTTCTATCATTTAATGACAGTTTTTCAGTTTAGGGGTTACTTTAATACCACAATTAACAAGAACTGGCTTGGAGTAACTCTTTAATTTTCTCTTCTAGAAGCTTTTCAACAGTATCCTAACACTTGAATACAAGTAAAAAATATCCTGTAAGCAACTCCATTAAAACATCCGTTATCAGACCCAAAGTTAAGTGACATGAGAGACACAGGGTAAAGAACAGAAAAGGCTTTATTAGGGTAGACGGATATTATTGTTGCCAATGTACTGGGAAACTCAGTGTAATCTCAGTTCAGGTAACATTCAATACAGAACAACTCCCAGTGGCTTGGGTCAGTAGGTATCAGTGCTACGCTGAGTTAGGGTATGTTCCTGAACAGACTACAGAAGATTTGGATATGCAAAACAGTTTATATTAAATCATTTTCTTAAGATTGTCACTGCTTTGTACATGTCCCACCCCTTACATTTCCTTTACATCCCAAGAGCTAAATGAAAGAAAAATCTTAAAAACATATTCCTCTGCTATTTGTTCTCTAGCAAGGCAGTGAAATCTTCCTTTTAAAATAAAGTACTGGGTGTTTTTCAGTATGACTCTTTTCACCAAGAGGGCAAGCTGCTTGTATCCAAAGACTGGGAACAGTGTCATCACTTTTTCATGTAAGTGGCCTTTCTAGTCTGAGGGATCCAAAATTACAGTGACCTCTGTAATCCCCCTTTTCTATTTCTGATTATCAGTCTTAATAGTTTAGAGGAGCAGACCATCAGTGGTATGATCAGAAGCAGCTCTATTTCAGTAATCAACTTGCTCTGAGATGCTTTCTAGATGGACCTGTTAGAAATTTTCTTTTGTGGCCCAGTTGAGCACTGTGCACAGATTCACAGTAAGTGACTGTTCTCCCGTATGATTGCTGTTCTGTGCAAATAAATAGTGGCTTCCCAGGAAGAAACTGGAGCAGTTCACATTCAAAATGATTAGTACTGTGTGCATTTTATAATGTACTTGAGAACAGGTCCAGGACTCTTAAGAATACTGGAAAAGGTTCCAAATATCACAGTACATGTTCATGGTTTCTTTCTGTACCAGTGGTGAATTGATTTATTACTATCTTTTTTCCCTAAAAAGAGCTGAACCAGAAGAGCATGGTCTCTGTTAACCAGAGGGAACAAAAATATCCTCCATGGCTTCCTAGATCTTACAGTTAAAGAAAGTGGAGAGTTAAGTACATACATTCACTATTAGAATGGAAGAGCATAACTGGGGGGAAAAAAAAAAGAGAAACCTATAGCTGACATTTAAGGATATTTGCTCCCTATTCAACTCCGAACAGACCATTGTAAATTTTGTGCTGAATTTGAGAGGTTACTTGCTTCTTTATCTTTTAGCTTCAAATAATATAGGCAGCAAGATGTGGTTCTAGATAGGAGAGGGTCTTGTTTTGCAGAAAACTGGCATCTCTTGTTCTGAGGGCTTAGGCAGAGTCTTTCCCTGCTCACACACCATTCATCCTAAGCTGTTCTCCTCTACTGCCCTCAATGAAACTGTTGGACAGCTGCTGCCTACCTGATCCTGTGCTATTCATTCCATGTGCTCCAGAGAGGCAGATGTGGTAGCTGAACACAGAAAGGGTAGTCTTACATGTGCTGTATTATCTGTTTAGAACAGGCTAATCAACATAATATGTAATTAATTGGTGGGCAGGCACATAATTGCATTTTGCACTAGAAGAAAGAAAAATCCCTTTAAAGTCTGCTTGTCCTTAACTGGAACAGTCTTGATGGAAAGCATAAGCGACTTGTAACTTAGAGAGCAGTAGGGAGACTCTCTGAACTTAGAAACTCACAGGGTGGAAAATACCTCAGCTGATAACTCATACTCTTGAAGTTCCTGGTTTGATATCCAGCCCCCCATGTTCGCAAGGCTTTTCCTCAGGAGAGGGGGAGATTATAAACCTGGCCTTTCCAATACCTTTCTAGAATCACCCACTTCTGATACCCACCAGAGGCGTATGGGCAGTGTTCCTGATTAATTTACTGACCTTGTCACTAGTGCCAGCAATGTGTGTTTAGGGGATCCCAGGTCCTTCTTTTAACATGTTTTTTTTAAGAGTTTGGGTTAGGGATGTGGGCCCTTTATTGAGCTGGCTGGAGAAGAGTTGCTTTTCTGTTCAGCTGCCCTATTGAACAGTTCAAGCCAGCAATTAGAGAGTTTAGATTCCTCAAAAACATCTACAGTATGTATAATAGAAGAATTTTAGAAGAATTTATAAAGTCAGGATTATCTTTAGTGTGATGCTCTTACAGCACAGAACATTGATCTGTATAAAAACATGGGAGGCAGAAACAATCCCAGTACATAGGGAATTATATTTTACTGCTAGAAATACTACTTGAGTTCTTAAATTTCAACTCTTCAACTTCTCGACATTTTGGGGGAGCAGACAATAATCCTACAGAATGAGGGAAACGGGGTTTGAGTTTTTTAAATTGGTATGTTCATAACAGAACTGTGGCAGTATCTCCTTTAAAAATTGACATGAATATGAATGATATGAATGATGGTTAATTCTTGTGTCTTGTCTGGGCACAGAATGAAAACAAATGCAGGTGAAATATTCACAAACCCCAAAATCAAATTAGGATTGTCAAGTGTGCAAGCAGAAATGATGCCCAAAGGACTGAGTGTGAACTAAAGCTTAAGACCTAAGAACACCAAAGTTTTTATTGATGTGACATCTGTTTGAAGAAAAATAAAGTTAATGAAATGTATAAGATGATAAACTTCCAAGCTTCCACAGATTTCATAACAAAACACATTCGTGAATCAGAGCACCACAGCAATACTAAGGCCCTACCAGTTTTGCAGAGTAATTTAAACTTGGAGCAGGAAGGAGGGAGGGCACTTTGATTCAAGTCGGGTGGGCTAGGGTGTCAAATTCCATGTTTAGCTCACTTTGTAAGTGTAGGCATTTGTATTTGGGTGGACATTTTAATAGATTGCGATAGCTTTACATTAAGCCAAACCATCAAAAATTGGCCAGTAAATGAAGACAGGAAATAGAAAATCTAATACTAGATTTTTTTTTTTTTTTTTTTTACAAAACCAAGGGCATACTGAACAAATCTGAGAAGCAATTCAGACCATTTGAAACCCTGCAGATAAAACAGTATCCCATTCAAGGCATAAGTCTGAACCTTTAATGGTACCTGGAAAAATTATCTCCATCTGTTGAGGTTGGGACTTCTGTTCTAGCCAGTGGCTCAATGGGTCTGTGATTTCCAAGCTCTGGAGTCAGATCTGAGGCTAACAGGATCTTCATCAGTGGTGGAGGCAGCAACAGCTGAAGGAACAGGCTCTTGGCTTTTCCAGTGGATTTTGAAGTTTTGTTTCTGAAATGCCAAATTCCATCCTGGGCTCTTTCATCTCCACCACAGGTGCAAAAGACCAGTACTGCTAATTCCAGCAATCCCGATCCTATTTCATATTCAGAAATTAACCCAAAGGCAAGTAATAAAAATGCATACATCATCCCATTCAATTATTCAGCAGTTTTGCAGACATACCAGAAGAAAACCTAGCTTTCCGTATAAAAATTGTCTGTGAAACAGTCTAACTTGATTTTTTTTCTCCATGGATCATAATTCCACATGTGCTGCTGGATCTGTTAAAGAGGAGAGAAAAATGAACATTCTGTTTCCAGCTGCCTCAATTGGGAGATTGGTTTGAAAATTAGTACATAAACAGCCAAAGGCTTGTTCTTTGCAAGGTTACCCATGACTGAAGTACAATTCATACCCATTCTGTATAGTGGCACTTTAATTAAGGGTTAAGATAAGGCCAGGTCATAAAATTGCAGAAACAGTGAGGGTCTTTAACAGAACTGGAATAAGCATGCAATAGAGCTCTCTGTTCTCTACGTTTCAGAAGCAGGTGAAGTTACACCAGCCTTGCTCACCAAGGTCTTTCTGTCCTATTAAAATACACATTATTTAACAGCTTGTCCATGTAAGCTTTTGCATCGTGCAAGCTTAACAGTGAGCAAGTATGCAACTTAACACTACTCCAGAGAGATAGGAAAAACCTCGAAGTAGTAGGGAAACTGCCTGAAAGATTACCGTGTGTATGTTGTCCTGGCATCTCAGCTGGTATTCCTGTTTCTTTTTCTTTCTGGAAAAGACTTTGGAGCTGTTTGATTTCTTGATCATAGTCCTGCCATTCTGGAACTATACGCATTGCTGCTTGCAACTTGGGCTCTTTGGTCATTGGGTTATTACACTGCAAACAAAACATAAGAACTGCTCAGATACTTAACATGTGAAAAAGGTTAATTTACTAAAGAGAGGTATGCTTCCCCCTCCCTGGACTGCCATCTGTTGTTGGTGAACCACGCATGCCTGTGTTTAGGTGGAGTACAGGGTAAAGTCTCTTTCCAAATTCACAGTAATGCCACTGCTCCAGGTAAGAGAAGTACAGAAGCTAAAGGAAAAAAACAGAAGTGCTGGAAACATTTAGGTAACAGTACAGGCACCTAGATCTGAAGTTAGGAAAGTGCCTCTAAAACTGGTCACTCTTGTGACATAAGACTGAGGGAGCCATACTGTACTTACCAGATCAATGGTTTTTGCTCTCTTCTTTGAGGAGTCATCACACCATGTTTCGCACCACAGCCACTCCTGTGGCAGTGATTTAATTGGCACCTGGTGGATCATGTTGTTAGGCAAATCCTGGTGTGAAGAATGTGAGTTAGTATGTGCAGGGTAGGAGGAATAACCCTCAAACCAGATAGTATAGAGAAGTTTAACTTTTGGAAAGTGTGATATTTTATTTTTTTTTTTTTTTTTTCCAGTGCAAATATATGTTGAATCAACATTTCATTACAAACAAAGTCCTTTGGGGAAAAAACTGCATACTATAACTGTTAATCTTACTTTGTTGAAAATCAGTTATTTAGCAAACAATAGTAAACCAATAATATGAATCTAGTATCAAACCTGTACTGGATAAGTTTGGAAAACCATTCCTAACTGATTAAAACGTTAGTGTTATTTTTATCATCTGCCACAATACAAGTCTTATTTTGGTGTTAAGTCAGTGCACAGTAAAGTACTTAGAGCTAGACAGCCCAAGAAACAAATACCCAGTTGTGTGATGTATTTGTCTAGAAGTATACTGGAAAATTTGATAGTCTTAAGACATTTAAGGGTAAGGTGTTGTTTCCACCCAGCTGTTATGGTTGATGCTATCAATACCTGCTATTGGCATCTGGCTGTGACTGAAGTTTGGCCAGGGAAGGAGAGGTCCCAGTCTGCCATTATAGCCCATAAAGCAACACAAACCCAATAAAAACACACCTGGTCGAGGTTGGACAGACTGTTAGGATCCTGACTAAGACCCTGATATTGTCCTCTGAGTCGATCTCCAGCTGCTATCTTTCTGAACTTCTTCAGATCCACAACATACAGAGCACTATATGGAGATGATGCAATTAGTAATGACATTTGACTGATGGGTAACTTACTGCAGCCCCAGTAAACCCCAAGATACAGTATGCTGAAACAATCTCTTGGTAGCAGTACATCAAATTATCTAAGACAAGGCAGGAAAGCAGTTCTAACGAGGTCATGGCACATACAAAAAAATTCCAACACATCTATCTTAGCTTTGCTGTCATGCAGTCCCTTCTTCCAACACTTGTTATTAACAAATGAAGATGTCTGGTTAGTTAACACTTCAGTTCTTCATCTGTAAAAGTTGTAGCATACTGAAAGTAACTTCAGTGCCCCTAGGGCTTCAAATGGACCATAGGCAAAGGAACCTTAAAGAGGCAACAGTAAGCAACAAGTGGTTCACTGCAACGTTGTTTTCACCTCAGCTAGTTTTCTGCTAGTTCTAAGCAGTAGCAAAAGCTTACCCCCGCTATTAGGAAAAAAATTAATTCTTCAGTACCTGATGTGGTATTTTCTTCCAGCTAGATGACTTGCCCAATATCCCGATTTCCAGAACCTGTAGCCATCCATTTCTCTTCGACTGTCACAGAATGGAGTATATCCATAAGGAGCACCATCTAGATTGAAATCTCGTAATTCCTTTAGATCTGTGCGCACAATCTGAAGGAAAAGGACATTTTATTTAGAAGGCAGAAGCCAATCACCAGTTCTTTGGAAATGCTGGTCAGGATTTAATTCCAACTGAGCGAACAGAAGAAGAATTACCCATTATACCCTTCTGTCTTTTGCACTGTGCATATGTAGTACAGAAACAGCACAAAAGGTGTTTTAGAGCTGCCCTTAGAGTTGGAGAAACTAAAATAGAGCTTAAAATAAACTGATAGGGGTTGGTCTGACAGCTGGAGTACCAAATTATTGCTTAATAAGCAGCAAGAATTCTCACTATGAACTCTGCTGTGATCCTTTGTATCCTTTCCTCTTGTAAAGTTCACACACCCTTCAGGGATGAAGGCTTTTTAATGTCTTCTTGACGCAGATGATGTGGCAGTGATACTACTTTAAAAATATCACTCTGGTGGGAAAAATGCATTAATATCTCTTCTATAAATGCAACAAAAAGTGTCTCAAATGAAAGCAGCATAGATTAAAATCTATACTAGGTGATACTTAAGTTGTAATGGTTTTAACTGACATAGGATCACACTGTACATATGCCAAAACACCTAAGGCGTTTTTTACTTAGGTGTTGATAATCTGTACTTCTCAGTTTCATGTATCTTTTTGAAGGAATAATGTATCCTGTACTTCCAAACCCTCCAGGCAATAAGCATGTACAAAGCCTTATAACATTTGCTTTGCAGCAGAATATGGCTTCATGCACAGGGGATTTGCCCTCCCGCTCCTCTGAAAGCCACTCAAGTCTGGCCAAGTGGGAAGCGGGGGGGGGGTGGGAAGGTGTTCAGTGACTTAAGAAAATACCGTATGTGGTAAGTGAGCTGCAGGCTGGGAGAACAGTCACAACTGGAAAATGGAAGGGTGAAACAAGAATCTATTTGGCAAACTGGCTGGAATCAGAGTGAGTGAATGAGGAACCAGCCAAAAGAAAAGTACAGGCCAACAAAACCAATCTTTGTGGGAACAGGAAGGAAAAATAACACTCACTGAAGCATGCTATAGTTACAGAATCAACCATCAATTGTGCCTGCAAAGGGCTCAAACTTGTAACCTTTCCAATAACAGAAACTGTACTCAAGAACAAACTGTTCTTAAAGAAAAAAGAAAATGCAGAGTAATTTCAATCTCTATGTTACCTGATCAGCATCCACAAACAGGATTTTATCAACAGCTAATGGGAAGAGCACATCTAGAAAGAGGATCTTGTAACCCCAGATAATACGCTGCTTCTCTGTTTGCTGATGAAGCCAGCGTGGCCATTTATACTGGACAAGCTCATACTGGAAGTTATACTTCTTTGCCATGTATGGGATGAATTCCTGCAGAGGGAGGGGGGAAAAAAGTAGCTTATTTCAGTTCTTTGTTCCTCTGCAGCAAAAAGAAAAGTTCATTACAAGAGGCAGACTTCTGTCCTATAGTAAGGCACAAAACATTAGAAAATGAAATACCACAAAGAGAAACTATAGTTTCCTTGTTACTTCAAAGACATAACCCCAAACTGAACAATCAATACAAATTATAAAGCCAGCTGCCATCAAACAACTACATATTTTGGCATTTTGCCCCACACAGTTACTTATAAGCCATTTTACAGGGATCCGCAGATCAGTTTAAAAGAATGCATTACTCAAATCATAAAAAATAATTCAGATGGGAGAACTGTTTCTTAGGGCTGTACAAAGCAGTGAAATTGGGAATAATGAAATGAGAGGAAGTAATTTGGAGAAATTCTTCACTAGAACTAGCCTCACAGTCAAAGCAATTGACATTCTCATCTGTGAGGCTTCCTCTGACACTGAGAGAGTATAGTTTAGTCAAGGGATGCTGACACAACAAAGCCATTAGGAAGAGAGGAAGGAAGCGTTTTGTTGTACCACTGCAAGAGGTGATTGACTACAGCAGTCATAACACAGCATATGGTTGAAGCAACAGGGACACTGCCAATTTCCTCCCCTTGAGTTCATGCTGAACATGTAAGGTTCTCTCAGAAATGCTCTTTCCTAATACTGCAAGTTGCAATCTCTTAACATTCATTTACCTATGGTTTCTATTTTGAATCCTGCTGTTTGTTTTATGATGTCTCACATATAATCCATAAATATTTTCAGGTATACTCATCTAGAGCCTGCACCACTCCTTACCATGCACCACTCATGTAACCTCATCAGCCTGAAATGTGGTCTTACTGTCTCCTCTTATGGGGCTGCCTCCACACCTAGTCACAAGTATTGCTTTGTTGGTAGGCTTTTTTCCTATAGTCTTTCAACCTTTATGTGTTAGATGTAAGTTTATAGCCCTGAATTTTATCTTAAAATCTACACCTTTCTTGTGTCAGTTCAGATTATTTCAAGTATGATTTTCCTAATATGTGCTCTTCTCTTAAATATTTACCCGCAGCATGAGTCTACTGTCAACTTGCCTGTTACTTCTCACAGCTTTCTAGACAATTGCCGGCTTACACCAACTTGATTCTTTGTCAAAATAGAAGGTATACAGACAGGTGTGCATGTGCTTACACAGGAGTATGTTACGGAGGTTGCAACTTGAAAACCAAATCCTTTCCCCTCCACAGAATAAATCTCTAATGAGTTACAAACCTTGAATGTAGGTGATAAGTAGTTCTTCAGAAACCAAAACTTTAAAGGGGTCTTGGTGTGCTTCAGCACAGACAACATCATTATGCTATCAAAAGAAAAAAAATAAAGCATTTACAGAAACAGCTGCTAGAAATCAGCTGTGTCACAGATTACAGATTGCTGGTTTACATTGCTAGGCTAGCTGCAGTTAGTCTAGTAACTGACAGGTAACTTGATCTTCACACATGAATTAAAACTGGGTAGCTGCAGTCTATTGCAAATTGCTTGGTTTTATCTACAGAATAACTAAACCTCTCACAATCTTTTTCTTTTAATGAGTCAGAATATGCAGCCTGTTGGCTTTCACAGTCCTTTGAGAATGGAAGTTCTTTTCCAAAGCAACAACTTATTCTACAGTATCCTAACAATACATTTGGATTTGGTTATACTGTAGTGAGAAAATGTAGGACAGAGACAATTATTAAATCAAGTCTGGTTTGAGCATGTGAATGTTATACACAATCTAGAGGACTTCTGAGCTGCTGAGAAAGTTTTGGGGCTTTTTTAAATTCTTGCAAATTCTAACCTTTCTTCTGTGGAAATCAGGGCACATTATCATTTGAGACTGCAGGACTCACCGTAGGAATCTTTCATACAGGTGTCCTGAAGCCACTGAGAATATATTTAGTACATCATCTTTATCCTGTTTCACATCTTCATTCTTTTGTCCTCCTGTGAATCCCCTGAAAGGATAAATGTATATAAAGGACAAGAGAGTAAGGGACAGCTGTATAGGAAAGAGTGCAACAGATGATGAATTGCTACAATGTTGGTTTAACACAGTGTAACTGTGGGGTTTGGTATCATTCCCCCCATGCTGGTCAGGCTATTCTCCACAAGAGAGGGTACTGCAGACAAGGGGGGAGGTACCAATGGCTTATCTGTGAACACTGAACATCAATTGAAAGATTACTGGCAGAGATGCAGCTGCTGGAAATGAACTATGTTCACAGGCTCCCAGGTAGCAGTGGGGATAAGGGAAGGCAAGCAGGTGCAAAGCAATGCCCTGGTCTCTAGCAGCAGAGGAAATTATACGAAAGATATCCCTATGAAAGATAGCCCCAAATTCAAGCAGTCTTAGTAGATATCACAGATGAAACTCTATCATCAAATAGTTTTCCAGTTTTAAGAGAGTTTCAGGTTATTATTGAATTAGTTTTACCATTTGAGGGATTCCCAAAATCCAGATTCATTCTCACTGGTACCATCACTTAGTAGATCTTCATTCATCATATCCAGTTTTTTCTGAACCTGTAAAGCATATAATACTGCTTTAGTGACTGGAACCACAACTCACAAACAGCCATAGAGTTATTTTGATACTAGCTCTGTTTGTATCCATGTGAATTCTGCCCGGTAGAATGAACTGACAGGTAACCTAAGCTGCTTAGAGAATCAGCATTTTCAGAATGGATGGCAAAGCTGTTTTCAGACACCTAAGGCATGTTATTCTAGGTAGTTAAAATGCAGAGAGGTTCTTGGTGACGGAGACTGGCAAAGAAAAAAAGAAACCAACTAATGCTCCCCCTCCCCCTTATGTTTCTAAATGGTATTACTGGCTACTGAGTCGGATGTATGATAACCATCACTTGTCTTACCAGTTGACCTCCTTAATCTTTTCAGCTCTTGTTATCTGATAGGCAACCCTAAAGACAAATTACTAATTTACCTTTTAAATTTACCTCTTATTTATATATATATAATTAAAAAATCTTTCTTTTATTTAAATAATTTATTGCCAGATGAATAAAATTTATCTGTAACAGATAAAATACTGGCTCAATGGATACACTGAATATTTATTACCATATGTATACAGTCCATACAAAACTGACTTTTTTTCTGAAGTCACAAGCACAACTGAGTCAGTAAAACATGAGTGTAATTGTTTCTCATGGGCATACAAATGGAACAGCAACTATATGTTATTCTCTCCTGTCTCAAAATACCAAAACCATGTCTACAGATAATTCTCTTATTATTGAATGTTGCATAAATTGCCGTAAGTGCTTGTTTGTAGGAAGTAGATCATCAAGCCTTAATCAAAGTTTCTTCCCCACTATTGGTCAAACAATGTTTTTTAAGAGAAGCTCTAGCTTTTGAACTCACCTTCACTTTAATAATTTTGCTCTTGAAGTTGTTGAGAACAACACTAACTTCACTAGCTTCAGGTGGAGAGTCTGTGCCATCATGGCTGAAAATAGAGTAAAATACTGACCTTTACTACAATGCAGAAATGTGTTCTTTTTCTTCTATGTATTTTTCTACATGGTTTTAAGTCTTAGCATTGTAAAACAGGTTTGAGACGTGGAAATGAAACAAATACAAGTATCTGAACATGCACTTACTGCGTTTTTTAAAATGAATGAATTCCATTCATCTCACGTAACTTATGTTCAGTACAAAATGTACCTTGCTGTTCAGTTCACTACACTGTGGCAAGGGAACTTTTAGATTCACATATTACAATGCCTACCTAGCTCAGAAGTTTCACAAGAGAAAGACTGAGTTACTGCTTTAACTGTCCTACCTGTATATTCTGTAGATATCCTCAGATCTGCCCTTTCTCAGTCTTAGAGTCCATGCACCAGGATTAGCTTTTAACTGGAAGTAGCCCTATAAAGCAAAAAGAGTATTTGTCTGTTTCCAGAAAACACAAATGTAGAAAACCAGGTTTTTAAGTCATGTATTTTGACCCACTGTTTAAATCTGGAAATAGTTATTTGTAAGCCAGCTGATTAACATAACCTTACGGCATTAAAGTCCTTAAAAACAGGAGAAAAAAAATCCCGGAAGTTCTATTCAAAACTGTTGTTTTTTTTCCATTGGAAACAGGCATATGGAAAAGTCCAGCATTATTTGATAGATGAGAGTCTTCAGGGTGCCTTGTTTGGAACAGTGCAAGCTTTTTTATGCAAAAGCTTGTCTTCATGAGGGAGTAAGTGGATTTCAAAACACTCATTGGTAACTAGAGTCCAGTGCATGAAAAGTCAAAACTAAAGTACAAAACTAAATCTAAATAATTTCTAAAGCTCTACAGATTGATATTTCATCTACAACAGCAAACAGTAACATAATTCATATCATATAGTTACAGATATCTTTTCTGCAGAACTTAAGAAATTACAATGTGAAATGCAAATTTTGTATACACATCTTGTTGGAGTTTGATGTTCCAGATCTGAACATTTTCTGCTATGATTTAGACTATTGCACCTATAGAAGATATGAATATTTGTAGTCATGCTTCTATGTCCCTTCCAGTTTTCTGTTGTGCATGCAATTTCATGAACCAGTCTGCTTTCTGTAATATACATATATATATAAAAAATACAGAGTAATAAAAAAAGCCCAGGGCATGTTCCTGGTCTTTTCATACCACGTCACTCCTGGATTTCCATCACCTTTCCTCAACTAAATTAAGCAGTTCCCATTCTTTCACACTTCTGCTATTTTCTAGAATGTCAGCTATTCTTGCTGACTCTCTCCATACGTTCCACAGGTCTCCTGAAGAAATGGGTCCCAAAACAAGACAGCTGCCCACCTGAGGCTTACAGTACCAGAATGGATGGTCTAAGGAGTACCCTGTCTAGACCTTCCCTGGAAAGAGGTTGCTAAAGAACATTGGCATCATTTTAAGATATTCCAGAAGACTCTTCTCGGCAAGCTGCAAGGAAAGGAGTACATCTTGAAAAGGTAAGAGACATCTAACTACACTGCAAGCTTTTAGACATCAGAGTTAGGAATGATGTGGTTCCGGTACATTTGTGAGCAACTTCGTAGTGTAAGTAATGCCACATATCCATAACCCACATACTAGAAAATGCTTCATAGTTTATGCAAGTGATTGTGCTGACTGGAGGACCAGTTATTTGCTGCCAGTTTCAATTGAATGCTTACCAAGTTGGCCATAACAATGGTATCAACGATGACTGGAGTGGTTGTAGTTCCTAGTGTAAACTGGAGTCCCCGAGGTGGCTGTCCGGTAGTAATATCATAGCAGTGTCCTTCCAGAAGCAGATACTCCAATTCATATTCTGCAGCTACGACATTGTCCACCTGTAAGTAAAAGATACTGTTGAATTCAGCACTAGCTCAAAAGTGCAAATTTTTAGTGATTCAGTTATTCTCTAAAATAGCCACAGTTATTAAATAACACTTAATTTTACCAGCAAATACCTAAAAAGGCTCAAATAACTCAGCTCCTTCAAGTGACAGACTTCACACACACATTGTTAAGAGTGTCTCTGACCAAAAAGAGTTGAATCTCAAGTGGTAAGATGTTAGGGTAAGAAAAGAGAAGGACTGTTGCTCTATTTTACTATTTATATTTTAAGCATTTTATTGAGAATGTAGTCAAGTGAGTGATAGGTCTGGCATCTCATAAAAAGTTATGATGGGCTCCAGGACTTTGAATCTAAACCTGTTTAAAGGTAGTCTCATCTAGTATTTATCACCTGAAATAAATATTTGTTTTGCACTGCATCACTCTTTACAGAGTGCTAGGGTACTGTCAGAAATACCAGTTCCATTTTTCCTACACCAAAAAGTGGCGAGAAAATAAAAAGAAAAAAAAAAGCCAACACAAAACCAACTTAGATCCCTACCAGGCTAAATTCGGCTGTAGCTTGAGAACACTACATAACCAAAACATCAGTCTGGTCTCACAAAGCATCTTCTGCCATTGCACATCCAAAATGACAGTTTAATTGCTACAGCACCAACAGGCTGCATATGAGGAATTAGAAATTGTGCACCTGCAAAAGTAAAGCTACTGTTTACTTGGAGGCTTTGGATGGTACTTCAAATGCCTGAAGCATTTAATCCCCCTTTCTCTCATTTCAGTTAATCTAAGATAGGGCATGGGAGTCAAGCTTGAAACGCATAGTAGTATCAGCCATTTGGTGGTTCATTTATGGTTTTACAGTTAAGAGATGAAAAACAAACAAAAACCCTAAACCCAAGCAAAACTAAACAAGAAAAATAAAGCACACATGAACAAACACCCGATTTCCTAAATTTTGGAATAACTAGTACAGGATTAGTAATATTGGACTCTACCACTATACTGCATCATATTCCCAAACAATATCAGATGCAGAAGTAAGAGGAGATTAGTAATATAATGTTCAGTGAGAAAGTAACGCACATTTGTAGTGACCACAAGGTTATACAGAGTGTTGCTTTTCAAGAGGCCAGTTTTAAAGGGTTTGACAATCTCATTGCATGTATGGCAGATAAATATACATATATGCATATATATATATCTGCAGTTCTTCAAGGGCAATGAAATAATGGCTTCTTTCAGGACATAAGACTATTTGACGGCCTCATTTAACATTTATTATTGTAACATTGTACCATGAAATCCAGAATTTTCTACTTTGTATCACACACGGATGTCCTAATTTTGAATTGTTTTTAGTGCCCACCATGACTTGTTAGTGTAGTGCATTTTGTAACCACTGACTAGCCCACTATTTCTAGAGCTGAAAACTAACCTCTTGCTGTTAACTGCTAATTTTAATGATTATTAGCACCGAATTATCCATCCCATTAAAGATTAGTGAAAAATCATCAACCTGTACATACAGATGTTCTTTTTTCCTTTTAAAGCTCATTTTTCTGCTTAGCATCAGCCCCTTCAGTCTTTCTTTCCTTCTTATCTTATCCCCATGCATGTGGGGCAGCACTGCCCAGATGATTATTCTAACTAATTCAAGGCCTGTTCCGGCAGCACTCAGCTCCTAAACCTACTGCAAGTGAGTGGATTTCAGCTGAACCAGTTTTACGGTTTTATTTATACTGCATATCCTTTTGTGGGCCACAGGAAAGTTTGTCAACAACAAAAGCTATGAAGGCGAAGGGCAGCTAAAACCAGTTTGGTGGCTTTTCAGAGCAAGGGGAAGTAAGTACAATTTCCTCTTGGGAAGAGGACTTAGATCTTACCTCAAAATTTCTAAGAAGGTTTTAAACATAACAGTCTTATTTTTAGCTGTGCCATGAGCTGTAGGGAGCTCTAATCCCAAAAGAATTCCTCAACTAGCAAACTGAAGTTATTTAATACCCAACGAGTTTCTTTGTTTCTAGCTCAGGACACTGAAATGTTATATACACACTCAGAGCATCTGTAGGAGCTGCTTCAATCCTGCAGTATTTTTCAACCTGTGATTCAGGCACCCATGAGTAATTGAGAATAGCGAACTTCAGTTTACCTGCATTCCATCTAGAAAACATGTAGGGTGCAAATGTAAAAGGTGTTAATATCCACAGTTATATGTTCAACAGCGCTTTAAAATTCCATATTTCTTTCCCATTACAAAAATAAGCCCTGGAAAAACACCATTTAAATGCAGTATTACGAACATGTTGATTTCTCTTACCTCCACTAAGTAAATATTATCAAGGTCATATGGGGTTCTAACAGATTCCACCATCCAGCTCTCAGGAGTATTTAGGTTTAAAGTGAACAATGGAGATTGGGGCATATCCAAAAACTTGGCAATTGGTCCTTGAGCAAAGTTGTTATCTGCTGTGAAAGAAATCTCTGGCTCCAAAACATAGCGATAAAAGCTGCAATTTCAGAAAGAAAATGTTAGAACATATTTCTGCCAAACTTCGTAAATATTCCACTCTCAAATGAACTTGCCGATGGCATCGGCTTTCCCAAAACTCCAGTGTCTCCAAGCAACATAGGTTGTGCTGACCTTAGAACAGATCACAGTGTTCATCTTGAAGGACCAAACAGAATGTGCAAGACTCAACCATTAAGATTACTAAGTTAACTTTATCTATATAAATAATAAAAAGCATCCAACTTGTAAACCAGCAGAATTACCTCGAGCTATGCACAAATTCTCTGTGGGAAATGATGCTATATATAAACAAGCTCAGTGCAGCTCTTGAGATGTCCTCTAAGATGCCTGACCATGTTTCTGTGCTTGCACGTTCCAACAGGTTTTTCTTTCTCTCTCCTGTTGACCCCGGCATTGCTTACCTTTTCAGTGGCATGTCAGAAAGCCTGGACTGGCAGTTCATAAACACTCTTAGGTTCATATTTATCAATTGGTTCAAAACCTAAAGTAATGAGAAAAAGATATCCCTTAAAATGCTAACTAGGAAAGCTGATGACTGTTTTCATAGACAGGACCTCCAGGAGGCATGTTACCTGCTCATTCTCCATCCACCCTTCTCATTATTTGCTTACCACACCCAACTTTAAATTGGTGGTTTTAAGAACATCTGCCTGCTCCCTCACATTGAAGGAATTCTATGAGATGTAGAGATGTTCCTCAAGAACAGAGTCACTGCAAATTAAACTGTTAAAATGGTGGAACTAAAAGCTATCTAGACAATATCCAAGCATCCAAGCATGTTGCTGTGTAGTATAGTGTAATTGTTTTCACTAACAAATGGTGCAACTCTGAGGCATTATCAGAAGGCCACAGGTCACCACCCAGTCAAGGAAGAAGGCACACATTCCAAAATTCCAGAACTGAGACAACTTTCTGAAATGGCCATAAAATGCATCACAACATTACATGCATACCAGAAGTAACGGAGCAAGTCTTTGAGCATCTCTGGTCACAGGATCAACTATAGCCACAACATCAAAGTATGTCTCCCCCTCTTTTGGTCTCAGTTTAACTGCACTAAACAGAAGAAAAAACATTTTTAAAGTATCAAACATATGGATACACATAGGAAAAACACTGTCCATCTCATTCTGAAGTCAAATTACTTCCTAAATGCTATGTGCCTTCTGAAACTAGTTAGAGAAAAAAAAATACACATGTACATGTATAGAGATAGGTAGACAGATAAAAATAATTTCTGGAATCTCACTGTGCCCTGAAAACTGTTGGAAACTTTCCTATTGTTACTTGGACTTTTTAAGTTATATGCAGCATAAAACAATGGGAGTGATAAAAGACAAAGGAGAAGCATATTGCTCAGCAAATGCCAGTAATCCTATACCTGTATCGTTCTTCAAAATAATGGTATTCAATCCTTGCCTCTCCTTTTGGTTGAGCAGAAAGAAGAGCATCCACTCTCATGACCAAGTCACTTGCACTGAAAAGAAAGAATGGGGGTAGGGGGAAGTTTACAGATACTCAGAAAAAAAAATGCATGTACTGCTGCCAGTTAGCAGCAAAAGAGAGACAGACTGAGTTCAGATAACACAAGCTAACACTTCTGCTACACCTCTCCACAGAAGTCCTGAAGAATTAAACATATTTAGGGTTAATCTGCCATTAATTTAAACAGGCTGCTGCCTTATTACTAAGGGTACCAAAGGGTTTAACTCTGTGACAGTTACAGAACAGCTTATTTTAGAGGTCAACCATGCTACAGGCACTGCATTCCTGAACTTCACCAACCTCTCTTAGACCTGTAAGCCATTTAGATCAAACCCTCATTTCACAGCAGTCTTCCCATTTTACACTGCAGCTATAAGAGCTAGGAAACAACCCTGTACGTGGTGAAACTTTTGAGCAAGAGGGGGCCTATCACTAGAAGAGATTTAATTACTTCTGACAACTTCCTCCTTTTAATTATTCCCACAAATTTTCAGTCTAATATTTTAAGAATACATTTTCAAGATTAAAGACAAAACCTCTTGAAAGTTCAATGAAAATTGATTTGTACATCACAGCTTTGCCAAGAAGCAGGGCTGTAACTTAAAGGTCTGTCAGCTTTTCCTGAATTAATTAATTCTCTCAAATTTACAGTGACAGCTGACTTAAATCACCAGCCAGAGCGTACTTGATAAAGCTTTCTCCAGGCTGCAGTCAGTTACATTATCAGAGTACTACCACTTTTTTCACTTATACTTACAGATCTTCTTCAAATCCCAGCTGCTGAATCTGAGATTTGATTTTCTGTCCTGATGTCTTTAGTATGATATTCTCAAGGAGATGAAAATCATCCTGATTGAACATCTCAGCATCCTCTAATGGGCCAATAATCTACAAAACAAAAAAAGGCAGGATCAGCATAATTAGGTAAAGGCAACACAAACAAAATTCAAAGATACATGAAATAAATACTTCAGCCCAGTATTGGTGGGTATTAACTGTTTAGGCTGGTATTAATGTCAACAGCAGCAGAGTTTAACAAATAAATCTTTACTGTTTAGAGCCAAGAATCCCAGACTAAGGCATAAAACATACACTTAAAACTTTCACTGAGTGCTTGGTTTGCAAAAGTCAGCCATATTAAATTATACCTGCAGTACTACATCTTGAAGGGGCAATAGAACACCAGGCCAATTCCAGCAGTCCTGCAAGACTCCAGCAAATCTTACTCCTCTAGCCTCCAGAACCTAAAAGCTACCTAGACAATTCCTGCTATTTTACTAATAAGAGAAAAAAAATACCACAACTCATCACTTGATTTTTTTTAACCCATTGAAGTATACAGTAACCACTGGAACTTAGGGTTTTTTTTTTCCCCTAACTAGGAAGCAGAATACAAAAGAAAGCTTAATGCTGTACACAGCTGGGTTTCATTACTTGCAGTGAAATACTATTGTAACACCATTTTCTTAATCTAAAGCTAAATCTATTGTAAAAAGAGCCAGTGGAAGGAGACAAGGGCACCTTGGTCAGGGCCAGAGACAGCAGTGTTTTGCCCAGTGAATTGTAGCAGCACAGTCTTTGAAATTTATCATCCCTTTCCACCCCTGGACTCAGTTTAATGCCAACATGAAAGCAACTCTGTTATTCAGAGAGCTAAATTTATGCAAAACACCAACAACTAACTGTACGCAGTACAAACAACAGGTCATGCAGGTCTGAATAAATCAAACTGGAAGCAGTCCTAAAGACTGATGAGACCTACAGAAGGCTCAGACACTCCATCTGATCCCTAGACCCTGTGGACCAAGGTCTGCTTCTTGCCCACATGTGCAACATCCATCTCCTTTACTGTCTGGTGATTGAGCTCACCCTTCCATTGCTGATCACAGCCCTCTGCCCTTTCTTCAGCTTTAGAACATCTCTGCAATATACAGCATGGGACAGAATAAAGTCCACCTTGGGAGATTCAAAGGCTTCTTTGAAAATATTGATATCCATACCCTGAAAGAAAAGAATATTTGACATTGAAATCAAAAGAAAGGTACAACTTTGCACAGTTTGTTTAAATGCACCCTGCTTGTTCCTGTTCACAAGCATCTTTATGTCTTGCTAAAATTTATCCCCAGTCCCTCTTCTTTGGCGTCTTATACCTTGTTCTTGCCTGCCACCTTGAAACGTTATCCCGACTTCTGACATGTATGGCCACAGCCCTAGTAATTGTTGCTGCTTAGACCAGTTGTTCCATTCTTCTGTTCTTAAGTGATTCTTGCCTCTTTTTAAACCTACTTGGAGAAATCTAAGGATTTTTCTAGCTTTTTAAAAGGATTATAGTTCTCTCTTAACCCCCCCAAGAAACACCTGGCTGACTCAAATTGATCCCTGAATCTGCATTTCTGTTTGCTTTTCAAAGTTACATAGGTTTGATATGTATGAGGATTTACTTTACTTTTAGATGGCCTGTTATGTTTAGGTAAGTCTGCCTTTCAGAACAAAAAAAGAGCAGCAGCAGCAAACCCAACAGTGTTACTTTCTTTTGTTGCTGCATCTTTTGCATATGAGCATACCACACTAAATCATTAGAACAAGTGAAGTACCATGCCTTTGTAATTGCCAACAAACATGCTTACCCCAACAGCAAATTCCAAGATGTCAGCTCCTGCCTCTAGTGCCTTTGCAGTTTCTTCTTTGGCCATTTTGGTGATGAAGTTCTTAGCATTATTTGATGTTTGTGTCTGTAGAGCTGCCCATATGGCTTTAGCGACAACAGTATTCTGGCTATTTGGATCATTACTAGGATTATTAATCATGCCAATTCGAACATTATTGCTGGATTTCTGTGTTTAACAAAACATGCATTAGGAAAGGTTTGGAGTTCAGGTGTAGTTTAAATGAGAAGACTATTACAATAAACACTATAGGAAAAGCTTTTGTATTTCTTAACCAGAAAACAAGATTCCAAATTAGGTAAATAACAGCACAAGGTTAAAAGGATGAGTGAACTAACTTAACATCAAGTATTTAATTTACCTGTAGGCACCAGTGTAATCTCCTGTAGATAATACTGTGTTACACAAGAGACCAGGGACCATGGCCACCGCTAAGAGGTCTGGCAAAACAGTGATTCGGGAGTGCTATCTATTTTTATAATTCAGTTACCTTCCCAGAACAAAAGAGGCAGGGAGCAATGCTCATGTTCATCTCCAAACCAAAACACAGACCTCTTCAATTTTGGACCATGGGCTTAAAAGAACAACTTTTCTTTGTTGTGTTATCATAGCGCCAAGAGGGGATTTTGTCCTAGTACGAGAAGGTCAGGGGTATCCCAGCCTCTACAGATAAAATGAGGCTGCAACTTAGAAATGCTGCAGGGAGAACCCATCTCCCCAGGGCATACAATAGGAAGAAGCACAACCTGTGCTTCAATCCTCTACCTACTGCTTTATTAGCACTGCTAACCTGTTCAAATGAAAACATCACCTACCTGATGTTTAATTGCATCATACAGTAATTGCCTTCCTGAAGGTTTATCAAAATCGCCAACAATCCAAAAAGTAACTGGTCTAACAAAGGAGTCATCTGCAATTTAAAACAGGGGTGGGAGAAATTTGAGGGTAAAGGGAAGGAAAGCTTCAGGTTTTCCTCATTTGGAGGAAAAATATGATGCACATGCAGAGATTTCAAAACAAGTAAGATTACACAGGAAAGCAGTGGATGAAGCTAAGCAATTACGTTTGGCAAGATAATAGTATTGGTATTACATTGGTTTCATTTGCCTCATTCAGAAAACCCACCTAGGACAGCATGCACCACTGTTTCTAAGCTCATAATTTTTTGTTTGCTACCTTTTTGATTTAGAAAAAATAAAGGAACCTATAAATAGAGATTCCAATTAGGGTACAACATTCTGCTTCTTTGTACTGAAGCTGTTAGTTCCCAAAATCAGTTTTGCATAGAGAAAAAAGTGCTGAAGCAAACATGCATTTAAACGCTTGCTTCACTTCCCGCTGGTTCTAAAGCCAGTGTTATAAAGGATCCAGAACATTCCCAGAACAACACATAAAATGCTAAAGCATGAGTTACCATAGATCTCCTTGGAAGACATTCCTGGTCAAAAAGCAGAAAGGAAAGGGGGAAAGGAGAGAAATATTAATAATGTGATAGTAATCCCAAAGTGCATCAAGAAGCTGCAGCACTGAACAGGACATAACTGAATCAACTAGAGTTGAAGTCCAGCAAGCAACGAGTTTGTACTAATTTTATTAGAATAATCTTTGATTTTTTTGTTCCCCTCAAGTAGATCAATGCTTTATTTACCAGTTCCATACCCTGAAGGTGGCATTCTGAACACCCTTTGCAAAACTGCCATGCTATGACAACTTGAATGTTACCCATTTATGTTCTCTTCCCTCTTTAAAAGCTGTCCAAATGGTGCTGTTTCAGTACTGTTGCTGAGCCAGCAGCATGTATAACTTTCCTATTTTTTTAGAAAATAAATGTGCTACGGAATTGCTGTAGTCAGATACCAGTTATTAAATATCTTAAGTGACCAAAGAGGCAGTGACCCAGAACTGTCAAGCCATGCAGACTTTCACATGAGAATGCAGGAGTGTAGGTTTAACTAATAACCTACAAAGGGAAAACAAGAAACTTGTTCAGATCAAAGTGACTGAACATGAACTGCAGGCAATCAGGAGACAGAAGGAGCAATGGGAACATCTAAGGCAGTGCATGCAGGTGGCAATGGCTGGAGACAGTACTGGTGAAACTTCTGAGAGTCTAGTAAAGACAGCAGGTAGGAACAAGAGAAATCGGTTCAAATGACAGCAGCTTATTTGTGATACCTAACTGAAATGGATACAGGGAAGGCCTGATTAAGTTCTGTATTATGTCTGTGCATGCATTTTGCACATTGAGAAGTACAGATGAGATTTAGCACAAGACTGTATAACTGCAGTAGAACAATGTTGTCATTGAAAACAAGCAGTACATGCACTGGAGCAAAAAAACTAGCACAGACCACATTGGGTGTTGTCATATAATGGGCAGTAACAATTTTCTTCTGAATCCATGTAACATTAAGTAATTTTGAGATATGGGATGGAGAGTTACAATCCCTTTTGTATTTTCTAGTCTGTGTCACTGCAGGATCAGAGCTTATGCTGCTGCATTTCTGGCAGTCATGTGCAATATAGCAAGAGCAGGTTGGGTAGGACTTCATTATTCATTGAAGGCTGGGCTGTGTTTAAAGCAGAGAACATTCTTGTTTCACCCTTATAAGAAAAAAATTAAATCTTTCTCTTTAACACTTGGATTGTGCCATTACCCACAGACCTGACCAAAGCTCAACATGTGTGTTGAGAACTGTACTCATGCTGGGAAACACACATAAAATTAGATTTAGGTTCATAATCCACTGCAGATGTTACCTTTCTTTGTTAAGTAGGTCATGCTGTTTGCAACAGCAGATGTCTTATCTTTGGAGTCCAATGTGGTAAATCGAGCAAAGTCATCTACATAAAAGTTACCTGAGGAAGAGAAAAAGTATTAGATGCCAAAGCAACTATTCCCTGTAAAATTAAAGAAAAATCACTACTATTACTTGAACATTAAGACCACATCCCATTTTGTTCCTTGCAATTTTGCTTTTTATGTTTCATTTCCACTGTTAAGCTGCAGAATATATTTCTGTTGTCTCATAGGTTACCTTTTTGTCTCCTAAGTTACATTAGCTACATGGCGTATTTGATATGCAGAATATGCAGAAGTCAATTGAAAGAATTGTTTAAGTCTCACTTAGTTGAAGTTAATTTATGTAAATAATATACATTTAAAGTCCACTGTGTTACTATTTTTCAAGCAGCTCAAAAAAAGTAATTTTAGAAGTGGTTTTGCTATGCTGTCAGTATTCTGCAGAGTCAAACCACCGGGTGTTAATACATTTAGACATGACAAATTCTAAATCTTAATTGCAAAGATGACTGTCAATCTCTGCTCAAAAGAAGGTTAGAAATAAGAACCAAGCTGTTGCTGTATACATCATATTACTGTACTTGGCTTTTACTAGCATTGCTAATTTCTCAGCCTCGTGAGTCATATTCCCCTAAAGGTTTATATAAAATCAAACCAAGATCCTGTTTTGATAAATCCGTAGACATTAATGTTGCTGTTGTACGTAACATCTCTCCTCACCCAGGGCTAGAACATCACTTGGGGTGTTGTTAATACTTTGCCACTAGAGCTTTCCATTGGGACAGCAGAAGTATTTAAATTGGATATATCAGGTTTAATGCAATTAAAAGCATCCCTTACTCATTCCTGTCAAATCTAGGTACTCTCTGTCAGACATTAAAATTCTTGAGTTAATTCTTGGAACAACATTAGGCTGGTTCATGATGTATTCAACCACATCTTGGTCATTAGATAATTCACCCTGAAGGAAGAAGAAAAAAAGCAGTATTAGTTATTTCACATGTTTATTTGCCTTAATAAGGTAAAACACACACACACCCCAAACAAATACCCACATCCACCAACAGAAACCCAAACCAAGAACTGACGCAAGTTAAGCTGTCTTATATAGTATTTATTCAGGGTCTTTTGAGTTAAGTTTTTCCCATTGTTGTTTCTCTCTAAAGTCAGAGCTCAGCTCTGCACCTACCAGGTACACAGCTCGCTGGAAGATGCTTGTCGTTTCCAGGATTTTGTGCATTGTCACAGTTTCCAGATCATCAGGATCCAGCTGATCTTTTTGAAAAGGCATTCCATTGAACAACACAACAGGGAGAGGACCTACACCCGTTTGCTCATAGTAACCTCTTGCTGCCTAAATACAGGGAAAGAAGTAGCTTTACCACATCAGCCCATTACCACAAGGGTTGACAACACCTGCTTGCAATATCCACAAGTCTATGCTAAAGACACTGAGATGTCCTTCTAACCTTCATATCATATTTAGAATACTAATTTTATGCAGTGTATAAGACATTTTCTGTATCTTATATGTACAAGATGGCCTTGTCTTTCGGAGTTTCAGAGGAAAAAAAAGTTACTTCATAATACAGTAGTGCAAAATATTCCATAAGCTCAGACTGTAAACAGATTAATTCCAATGAGCACTTTCTGGTAGTAACAAAAAAATGCACAACATAAAACCTGACTTTGCATATGGAAGCAAATACAGTTGTAATGTAAGACAGGGTAGAAGGTTTTCATTTTTTAAGAACGTTTCTACTCGGTTCTAGTGCTATACATACAGATTTTTAAAAATATGTATTACAGTATATAAAGCTTTGTGCTGAACATAATTACTGAAGTATTACTACAAGTCACTCAATGTAACAACGAAGCAGGTACATGGCTTGTAAGAGAACTGGATCAAGAAATTGTACATAACTGTATTTCTAAAACTGTTGAAGCAAAGAAAGTGAAAACCCCTCTAATTCCTGAATTCTTACCTTTCTGTTTTGATCATAGGCAGAATCAATTCCCAGAATGCTGTTGATTTCCACATAAGGATACTGTTTCTCAAGAACGCTAACCACATGCTCCACTTTGAGCTGATCTCCTGTTTTTACTTTGTTATATATCTGAAAGGGGGATACAAATACAAGTTTACAGCTGCAACTGTAAAGTGTCTGTCCTTATCAAAGGTAAGCTGACCTGCCATCTGTGTTCCAGTAATTATAAGGAGGCATTAAGAGCAAGACTGCAAAACATGTATTTGTGTTTATTAGCTGCAATAACAGCTCCTAAGTACTTGTAGTGCTTAGAATTATCTTGCTTTTACCTTGTTGTCATTCTAGTGAGATTGGAAGGAGGCAAATATAATGTATTTCCTTATGTAATAACTTGCATCTTTAATTAGAAAAGTTACTTGAGGGGAAAAGGTAGTGCTTAGGGAGGGAAAAAAGGCTCAAGTAAAGCACATCCAAAGAACTACCCTTCCCTTTCAGAACCCAAGACATATTTTTAAACAATATAACAGACCTCACATGTAAAGTAGGTAATTGGTTCCCTTTTGAAGGTACAAGATTTTACTTTGACTTACAAATACATACCAAGTCAAATGAGAATAAAAATAATTTTCTTAAGGTCACCATCAGTTTAAAGTTACAGTATGCCCCAGATTGCTGATTTGTACAACAGTGTCAAACCACAAGCAAAATTGCATTTACTTAGCACATAGATTATGCTTTGATGTGGCAAAAGTATGCAGCAGGAACTGTTCAAAACAAATTATAATATTGAAGGGATAGAGCGGTTCAGAACTGACTGGCAGAATGAGCAAAGAAGCAGGATCAGAAAAATGTGCGTAAGTGTTAAGTGTCACATTATACCTACTCTTGCTTGTTAAACTTAGGTCAGAAGCGCTTCACAGAGCAGCATGTGTTGTGTGGTACTAGTGTTCAGAGGTACTCTGAATGCTAACAGTCAGAATTTCTTCCCTTATCTACATATTGGCACATTAACATAGTCTCACGTACACAGAAAATGTTAACATGTTAGTGTCCATTTTAAATGAATACTTACAGACATGACAGTCTGGAAAGCGTAATTATTGTCCATTTCTTGGGCCACATAATTGTATGTCCTAAGGAGGGCAACACCTGGATCCTGAAGTGCATCAACATCCTCTGAGTCATTAACCACAAAGACTAGTCCTATCCTGCAATCAAACAAATCCCCAGATCATTAAGCTATTATACTAATAAATCATCGATTCTGCATACAACTGTCAGCTGTGATCAGCATCTTAGATAAAGGATTTTTCTAGAATAGACTGATAAGATTTCAAGCACGGAGGCCAGCAGTCAAACTTAGGACATACAATCTCTAACAGTGAGTCCCATCAGAGTCTTGCGTTTCATCTCTCTTTCATCTAATGTACTTGCTTTTAGGGTTTTTTTGACTGTTAAAGAAACTGAACTCTGTTTTGCAAATAGCAAAAGTTATATTAAAAAAGAAAATGAAATAAGAACCAATACTTAGTAAATGCACTCCCCCACCACCAATACAAAACATGGAACTTTTCTACAGTGCTCTAGCAATGAGAATTTTACATTTGAAAACATCAGAAAAATAAAAGTCATGTAAAAAAATTCCAGTTAAAACACAGCAGTTACCTCAGTGGGATGTGGTTACTGAAGAACATCTCTGCCACATTCAGTAATTCTGCAGTCGTCTCATGAACAGGATCTACTATCAGCACCTGCGTACAAATTGCAAGTGAAAAGTCTCTATTCCCTTAAGAAGTTTTTGATTAGAGATAGCTTCATTCACGTTTCAGCGCAGAATTATCATCAGTCCTACTTAGATGAGGCCTTAATAGCTTCTTCTGAAGTCTTTAGGTCCATTATCTAAAATACCCAGTCTAAACCACTCCTTTAACTAGAAAAGATCAGACTTCTTATGTACTTTGTATCTTTACCCCAAGTATATGCTAGCATCGAAGTTTCTGCCTCTGTGAGTACACAAATCCACCCTTAATTAATGCAGTCTTCATGATGTGCATGGGAGATAATCTGTTGGAGTTGAGGAACACAGCACTGCTTTGCTCAGCCCCCTGGAGAGCTGATGCTGCTAAGACATGCTCAAAGCAAGCCCAAAGCCAGGGAGAACCAGGCCATTCAGAATAAATTTAGGGCCCTTTATTCATGCCAAGTGTTGTCTTTTCACTTAATTTCAATGTTAGAAGTACTAAACTCCAGAGAAAAAGATAACGTATTAATACTGGCAGTTTGAGGTGATTCGGGTCCCTGTTTGCCACTAATCACAGGAGTCCTTTTTAATATAGGGCCACATGACATGAATTACAGTACATAATTTACAAAGTCCTTATTAGATCTAATTTTAAGCAGTTTACCTAGAGACTAAAAGGACACCTAGGATTAAACTGAGGGCCGTTGACCATCTTTTAAAGTCTTGGTGCAAGAATGCTTTCCCACTGAAGTACCTGAAGTTGGTCTTGACCCTGTCTGGAAGCTACTAATTACCAAATTTGAGGATTCAGGTACTACCACAAAGTTGAAATGCATTCTCACTCAGTAGATGATAGTTTTTTCCACTGATGAAGCAGTTTTTGGCAGCTAATAGATGACAAAATCATGCTCAGTAATCTCTGAATCTCAGCCACAACTTACTAGTACAAGTAGAACAAAACCTGTTAGAGAAACTACCCATCTCAAGATATTTAAGTGACAGGGAATGCAGCATATATGTAGTAGGTGAGTTGCAAAAGCTAATGTCCCTGCTGTTGAAAAAACAACACACATTTCGTTTCTAGTGAGGTTACTACTTACGAAATTATGGAAGTTTTTTCTGATTTGTCTGATCACTCCTGGAAATGTGGGACGCAGCAGTTCTTGCACATTGGAAGGCCAGGAATTATACCGACTGTCAACTTCCAGATTGTTGATCCACTGAGGAAAAAATACAGGCATTTAAATGACTGACAGTCCTCCTGCTGATACATATATATATATATATATGTGCTGAAAATATCCTGCTGCTATTTTCAAATCAGACACTATATTGAGATCTGTATGAATAAAATGTTAAGCTTTTTAAAGAGCTAATTATATCTTTCTTTCTTTACTGCAGTTTCAGAGCTGATGGTGAGATAAGATCCCAAGTTCCCATGAACAGCCCAACAACACATAAAATCTCTCTTCTAAAAAGCCATACGCACTGAAATAGCAGAGCTTCTGATGTCCACAGCATAATCAGAATCTGATGGCTGGATGTTCAACTTCAGAACATTGTGCAGGGAAAGCCCCTCAATTCCTAAGCTGTGTAGGCCTTCCATAACACGGGCTTCATTGCGCAGCACATCAATCAAGCTGGAAGGAAAAGAGAAATCATTGATGAATTTTAAAGACAAGGTAAATAACTTGCTCTTACCCTAAGGGGTAATGTCTGTGCATTACTTCTTATTTCTTCCTATTTCTAACTGTCCTAAGAAGCTTGAACTAACTTAAACATATTCAATTACATTGTAATTCTAGGGAAAACTACATGAAATAATTAAAGCATGATATACATATGTATTTCAATTCCATATTATTGGAGCAAATTTTAACCAGGAGGGTGGGTTTCAGATGAAGAATTTACAATGGTTTATCCTTTGAGAATCAGTCTGCTATCTTCAGAATAAAACCTGTGTGGTGACTGTCTTTAGAGACCAGAATCTTGCTATTCAGAGCACAGATAAAAAGGATAGTACAAAGGTGACCTCGCATTCCGGTCTTCAAGGGTATTCCAGTTTTCATCAGGATCTTTGTTAGAAATGCACTTGCATAAGAGAAGGAACCATGATTGGCTTTTTTCAGTACTTAACCTTTAAACCTAGTCTAGATACAGACTTCATGAAGAAGGTTCAAAATTCTCTAAATGACCTTACCATCCATGTACAAGCAGGATGCAAGCTGCTAAATAGGATAAAATTATTCTGAAAAATGTAACATTCCTACCTAAATATGTCCTGAGTGTCTAAATCAATAAGCAGTCCATTGATGAACAAGGCAGAATCTCCTGGTTGCAATCCTAATGTTCCTTTGAAATACTGAAAGAAAGTAGACAATCATTAGAAGAATGCTCTGCACAGAAAAATCATTACTAGAGTGTTTAATGTGCTGAATTGTGGATTATATCTCCCTTATAGCATTACAAATTGCATCCCATTGCTTCTCAACTGCAGTCTTGCCTGACTTTGTGCACACACCTGTACCAGATGAAAAAACAACTGAAACTATTTAGTGCATAGATACTTAAATCAGTTGTTTCTTTCTACATGATTCAGCAGTGCACTGGGAAGTCCCTGAGTTGACTTTTTAAATATACTCAGATGAAATAATTAAAAATAATTGTCTTAGCTCTTTAACATGCAGTTTTGGGCAGAACAGACATAAACAGCTGGATATTGCATGGTACTCTCTAGTAGAACTACTGTGTTTAAGGTACCAGTTAAGTCCTGATCTAGTGGGTATGTCGTCAAGTACAGGAGCTGCCATTGTAGTCTGACCTCCCCAAAACCAGGAAGTACACCAGTGGAAAAAGCTTTACCAATATTTTGGAATTTCTGTCAGGTACCTCTAAGCAATACCCCATTTGAATGGGTAGTTGTCCCTGAATTGAGGCACCATCACAGAGAACACCTGGGAGAGGTGAATAAAACACAGTCCTCCTGGAACAGATTTCCCAACTCTAGCATGTTTAAAACCTGAAAAACGGCACTGCTTTCTTCAGTAGCTCTTGTCTTGCAGTACCAGTTACAAAATACTATGAAGAGGCACTATGAACGCTGGAGGAGAAATATAGTATTTGTACACTGAAAAACACTAATATCATGAGGAATGCGAGCAAAGCAAACAGAGGAATAGTTGAAGTACCAACAACAGGAAAGCAGCATCTAATTGGGAAGAATTTATGTATTTTATTAAATAAAGACTCCCAGAGAAGAGCTGAGTACATGCAGTATTATCCACAAAAAGATACAATTTATAGTAAACTAACTTACTAATAGCAGTAAACTTCACTATCAAATAATATCCCCACAAACTGAGTCATGCAAAGAATAGCCTTAAAGGGCAGGGTTAGATCTAGCCAGATCTGGATCTAAACCTTGAGTAAAAATGAATCCACAGAATCATGGATTTACCTGCGGACCAGTGTGATCTAACATGTAACAGAAAAGCCACCAGGTAGCTTTCATTTGCACTTACATTCTATACCTTGTCCCTTCCAGGACCACACTGGACAACAGTGTCAAATTGCATCCCTTCTTTTCTGATTTTATCCCTATTGAACAACAAGGAATTTCTCTTTGAGAACAGGAATCTCCATGGACTTGTAAGTAGATGTCAGGTACCTTGGCATTTACTACTAGACTAGCCAAATATCATTTATTAGATAAAGACATAAGTGTGTACTTAATATACTTCGTATTTTTCCTATTAATACCAAGCGAGACTGAAATGTGCGAATAGATCAGCATACATCATACAGTAAAAGCTGTTGTTTGGCTTTGTTTTCATTGCCATTTTAAACTTGCATTTTGCACTCTATCCATACTGCACTACCAGGGGTATTTTAACTGTACAAAATGCTGTACAAAAGTCTGTAGAAAATTCCCAACCGGCTACTTTTTTATTTGCCAGTGCTTTGCTGATGCCAAGTACACAGCAGAGCTGTTGAAACATTTTTCTGCAACACCAGAGCCTACTCAATGACCTCGGGGTCCTTCACAGGCCCATTTTTTTGTGTTCCTGTTTCAAAGCACATGTACACTTACGTGGGTAGCTGCTAAATTTTATTACTTCACTAGTTTCACTCTCAAAGCATTGGAACCATTTTCTTGCACAAAATATAAATCATTCTAAGCCATGGCAGAAGGGTTCAAGTTTATTTTGTGACTTATACGTAAACACCAGTGAATTTAGGAATCTAAGCACCATCTCAAATTGGGCAATGAGAACTACATTTCTTCTACATTCCCAGAACTGTAAGAAAATGCTTAATAGATCTGCTTTTTAAATAGCTTTCTGACAAGCTACATTCCATCTAGCTCAGACATTTTAAAATAATCTAAAAATATAATTACATTTTTGACTCTAACAACTTCCACCAAAAAGCACTCACACTTCTAGTATCTAGGTGCTTTGGAGAAGTCCAGAATACAATCCAAACCTAACTTGAAGCCAACCTCTTTTTAACTGTTACCCTGGACAAGTAGTGCTTATGGCATTCAGACTTGACACATCTGCTGCACCACTCAAATAAGAACTAGGTCAGAGACTGAAAGAAGGCCACCCAGCAGGCACAGTTCTGCAAGAAACATACTGTCTTTATAAAAGCTTGCTGGCAAGTCATCACTACAAACATGTAACTTGGAAACAAAGACTGATGTGACACACACATCACAATTTCTACTGCTTCATTTTCACCCAGTCCCATCCTGCAGATCACATTAAGACACTCTGCATGGAAATCCTAAGAACACGTGCACTGTATGTTTTCTTTTTCCTCCAGGGTTAACAACATAGTACTTTAATTGTATTGAAAGTTAATTTTATAAAGATAAATAAATGCAGGTACCACATTCTTAATCCGGATACAGAACAGAAGGTCACTTTCATACACATGAACAAATGCTTGCCAAATAGCTATCAGAACACTTGACTACTGTGAACAGCCGTTGTAGGGGCAGCTCTGCAAACAAAACCCCGTATCACCATTCCCCAATACAGTCATCTCACTCAAAGAATTTATGACAATATATTCATATTTGAGCATACAAGCTAATTTGTGTTCCTAATCCATGTCTGAAAATCCACCACTTTTTTAATTCCTAGATGCACACTATGACACAGGTGTGTGTGAAAATACCAACTCAATTTTTTGAGCAAAATGTAAACCTTTAAATAGAATCATTATTTTCAAAGTTTGAATTTATACTAAAACATAAGCGCAAAAGCACTATGTTACTTTCTGGAAGCATTACCTTTTGGTTCTCTTCAATTTCTGCTCTGAGTTCCGAAGAAACAACTGTTTTCGTTATGGCTCTACATAAATAAAAACATCACATTGTGAATCATCTAATGGATAAATACCTACTTATCCTACTTTTTGTACCTCATCTGTGAATATATTTAGTCTCCTAGTATAAAGACCTGCATTCACTTGCACTTTGTGGTACCATTAAACAGTAGGATGCACTGTTTTTCCTTACACTTTATAATTCAACAGAACATAAAAATGAGAACCACATGCCAAGTGCCAGTATCTAATTTCATATTAACTATAATAAAAGCAGGCAGCTGCCAGAAAGGTGGAGGTGGAGGCTGGCAGCAGAAAATAGGGGGATTTCACTCCTCATGGTGGGTTCCCATTCCTTTCCTTACATTATTGTGTCTAGTAATTGCATCATCACAGAACAGGCACGTACAGCTCACATACATGACTGAAAACACAATGAGACTGCAGTGCCTACTTCAAGAAGATATAAATAGGACAAATCTTAACATCAGTTAGTGGGAAATCAGAATTCAGCTTCTTTGTATTTTCAGGTGTATCTCCACCTACTCAAATAGGAAGAGCTCCTATAATAACATCTTCACAGCCCAGGTCATCTCATTTATCAGAAGAAATATATTTCTAGAGTGGTTGGGCAGGCCAGATTATGACTGAATTTCTTGAAATGAATTTGAATATGCTCAAGACATGGACAAAGTGCAAAAACAGTGGGATTGCACATAAGTCTCTGCCATGAGATTGACTGGGCGTTTTGGCAGAGTAGATCCAGAAGAAGACTGGGATCTAGTGAATGGATAAACCTTAAAGCCACCAAACAGAAAACCTATCCAATAAATTCTTGAGGACTTGACGCAAAATGTTCAGAAGCATTTCACAACAAAATACCATGGATAATTCTGTAAATTTTCCGCCTGTCCACATCAACTGCCATCCAAGAAAAACACTGCAAGAGATCCTCTTTGTAACCCTAGGCTGAAGAACTTCTCTACCCAAACATTCCCCAGTGTTTGCTTCCAGTCAAATGGAAACTTGGACATTAACCCCATGCTGCCTGTCTCAGGAAAAAGATAGTAAGAAAACTTCCTAGAACTCATAATTAAAGTTACCTGGCCATAGTAGGAAAGTTCTGACTCAGGTCTTTCATGACCATCAAAGCATCCACAGGGGGAGCAGTCAAAATGCGAGCAGCACTTTGAAAACTTAAATCTACAAGTGAAAGAAAACAGAAGTTGAGAACTGTAAACTGAAAACAAGGCAGTGCAGTCATCTTCACTTTAGCTTTTGACTGGTTTTGCTTATTTGTTACCTATGAAAATTTGTTTTCTAGCTGCACCTTTAGATACTTTAAAAAAAACAACAAACATCTTCTTCCTTTATTCAATTTATATTTGTTGCCTTGAAGTAAGTAACACTTTCAAATGTATCCTGTCCACAGGTTGCTGCAAAGAGTCCAGACCACCACCTTTTTGTTTTGGCTGAGGAGGGAGGATCTGCCCTTCAGAAGGAGTCTGGGTACTTGTTAGAAGCTAGAAATCTACAAGCTAGAAATACAAACAGCCATCTGTTGGATATAAGTAGATTCTTTGTGACTATAACGTATGCTCAGCATTTCAGTTACTCTTTTTTTCCAGAGGACAAAAAGCTTTTCCACAGGCCTCTACAGATGATTCCCAGGAAAACAGGCCAGAGTTGTGTATATGCAGATGCTTTTGAAATACGGTTTTTCTTTGGTGTTGAGAAATCTCAGCTTTCCACACCAAGCATGTGACCATGGAAAGAAACTTTGCATTTCCTTTGCTTTTCTGCATTTAGCAGATCATACAGAATGGTCAGTTTAAGAGCAGGTGGCTTACTGTACTTCACAGTATAGAAAGCAAACCTCATTTCAGAAGTCCTGTGAAACAATCTTTTCTAAAAGCTATCTCAACAGGAGATTACAAAGGTACTTTTGAAAATCCAGAATTTTCCAATGCAGGAATTTTCAGTCAAGCTCTCTCAACTGTATGCAGCCACTAGCAACCTCATCTGTGTAGTACACAAGAAGATAAGTTTACGTTAAGGTTTTTCCAATACAACAGTGAAACCCTCATACAGATTACCTTGTAGCTGCCATACTTTCAAAGGTGCCATTTCATTGGTACTTTCCACGAGGTGTTTTCTAAGCTCTTTCAGCTCTTCTGTCAAGTCAGGATACAACTGCCTAAAAGGGTATGAGGGTAAAACAATTTCTTGGGTTTCCTAAAAGCGAGTCTGCTGCTAATTTTAAGAAACTAACATATGGAAAAGTATGCTGCTTATATCAGTGAATAACTCAGGCATTTAAAAAACAATAAGGAGCAAAAAACATCAGCATCTCTACATGTTTTCTGATATGACAGAGATCAACAACTTAGAAGTTCTACCTTAGTTTTCCAAACAGAAATCCTTGCACTTCATCGACAGGGTCATTTTCACCTATTACTGTAGCATTCACATCTGTGCCTGTAAACACATAAGATAACACTATTGTTACCAAGCTGTTCAGAAACAGTTCTTGCACTCATTTTGATTAGTTTAACAAAAATACACTGCAGAAACCAAAAAGAAGGAAAGGCCAAGTTTCAGATTTAACTTTTAAACCTTATTGAAGAGACATTACCTTTACAAATGAACATAGTAACAGCTGAAATGAAACAAAGTTGGATTATTGAGAAGAAAAAGCTTAAGATAAGTGGGTATCTCAGAGAGCTAAGCATTTCAGAGGAATTCACTAGGACCTAGAAGCTTTCAGGACATGACATGCAGAGCAACTGCTAAACTTCAGTTGTGATCACAGCTCTGATTTTAGCTCCAAAAACCATGATAAAATAGTAACATCTGAGTGAAGTCCAATTCTGGGTTTAAACATCAAAAAGAAATCTGTGCAAGACTCACACGATCTTCTAATTAGCTGGACAGAAGCCAACTCCAATCTAGATGTTTTATGCTAAAGTCTGACTCAAGATCCTGACCTTTTGATGAGTGTTTGCTCCTGGGCAAGCCAAAACAGTCATCAATAAAAGACTGCACAGTCAGAACATTCACAGAATCAGACAGGAGCTGGAGGAGAGCCTGTCCTTGTTCCAGCTGGGATAGAGTTAATTTTCTTCCTAGTAGCTGGAACAGTGTTGTATTTTGGATTTAGTATAACAATAGTGCTGAGAAAACACTGATGTTCTAGTTGTCAAGTATTGTTTATTCCTTCTGCTCCTCGTTATTATTATCGTATTTTACTTTTATTTCAATTATTAAACTGTTCTCATTGCAACCCAGAGGTCTTTACCTTTTTTTTTTCAGGTAAACAGTTATTCATGTAAAAACCATACAAAATTATCTTTGAAAAATTAAGATGTTCACATTAACATACTTAAAGTAATAATTCACCTTTCACCTGTGTATCATCCTTGGCCTTATATTCTGTACTTTTAATAGCCAGTTCCACACCATACCCAGAGAGGTAGACTTTTTCTTTACTGGGATTCTGTAACGAAAAGCAAACAGTACAGTATTGCCACTCTTTGGTTTGATGCACAAATGAAAGGCTGCCATTGCCCAAAGGTAAGAAAGCTCTAGGTGGTATACATTTCAGACATAACTGGTAATAGAGAAGTGAGGAAAACACAATGAATGATTCTGTAGTATATATTGTAATATTATATTTCCTGCTGTATTTCAATAGAATTTTTTTAATTTCAGTGAGCAAAGATACCTCGTGGACAAGAAAACCACTGAAAACCACAAAGTAAAGAGGAACACAAAACGATGTTTTCAGGATTCAGCATAAGCCAAATAGGACAGGACAGACTCACATCATCAAATCAAGTAAGAGGAGGAAAAGGAACTTCAGCTGTGAAGTTCAGAAATGAAACATTCATTACAAAAAAGTAATAAGTCAGCGACTCAACAGAGATGTATAATTAGGTCTGTTTTTACTGGGAAAAAATGTGATGACTTCTTAGAAGTATTCTGAAGTATACAGGAGTCCCGCAACTGTATACAGATCTCTTGTGCAGTACACTTAATTTTGAATGTAAGTACTCCATCCAACACTGATAAACAAATACCTTTTTAAAAGTAAGTGGCATATGCAAGAATATGACTTTATTAATAATAAAGTGCAAAGATCATTAAAAGTGAATCAGCTAATGCTTTTTTTGCATTGAAGTCTTGCTACTAACTAGCTGCTATACTGCAGGTTTTAGCAGTATTAAACAATGTGTAGGAAAAAAGTCAAATTTCTCAGAGCTTTTGAAATGTAGCTTTAAACACTAATCCAGTGGTAATGGGCAATTTAGGGGAGGGGGGTGGAAATCAGGACAAAATGCATTAGGACTGGTAAGCAGTTCTGTATTATTACAGAACCATCTGCTGTGGAAATAGCACCTTTATTTGAAAGCGTTCAGGTTAATCTTTGCTTTTCAGATCAAGTAGCTAAGTGGCCTGCCTGTGGAAAGATCTGATTGTTTCCTGTAATCTAATATAGGTGAAGCAAAGATTTTTTAGATTAAAGCCTATAATTAATCTGGAGTTTAACTCTGCATTTGTAAAATCAAATGATCCTCCTATTTAAAAAAGCAGGAGGTTTAAAATATTATGTATTCCTCAGGTACATGCAATAGAAAACAAACTTTTGAGTACTCCAAATAAACATCAAGCAGCAACACATTATGCAAATGTCAGTTTAAAGGGAACAAAGTTGGCCAGTTTTCTTTTCATAAAACCCAGGTCAGTTGCTTTTTCCATGTCAAATACCTCTGTAACAACACACAAATATACTTACAGCAATATAGTGTCTGAGGACATAAGTGATTTCCCCTGCCTCAGCCTTTAAAACAAGCTTCTTGTGGTTTCTGTAGAACTCCTCTGAGCCAATCTCAGCATAAAGTATGACGACAGGACTCTCAGGGTTTGACACTGGGTACTTGTGATCACCTTTGAACAAAAATGGCTTTGGCCTAAGAATAAACATTGGAGATTAGCACACTGTACTTCACAGCATTTCTTCACTCAGCGCAAGAAGCAAAATCTCTTTTTTTCATGTTGAATCACTGTTCATGTCTTCACTGAATACTTACATCAAGCTATTCATACATATCATCAAGGTTGGCAGCACTCAATGCATGTTGATAAAGCTTGTTTAAAAATGGACATATGAAAATGAAGCAAGTAGCAAGGTGCTGTTTTGAACCTAACATGATCCTTATTTTAAAAACTGACCACTTCCCTTAAACTTCCAGTTAACTTCTGTGCCCCAAGTGCTCAATCATAAATTCTGTATAAAAAAGTAAAAGGCTAACAGAGCAAACATTCCAGGAACTCAAACTGGAGCAACAACCCTGTCCTTGGTTAATATACAAACAAAAAACTGAATGAGAAGACTCTTTTCAACGTGGGTATTTAAATTTTGTCTAAGACAAAATGAAGTATTTAAAATATTCCCAGTGAGTCAACAGAACAGCATGTGAGCTATCGATGTCTACACATTGAGCAGAAACCCCTTATGCTTACAAAACCCAAAACTACCAGAATTACTATGGAGACAAACTGAAATTTAAGGGTTTGAGTTTGGCTGGGTTTTGTTTTGTTGGTTTTGTTTTATTCTAAAGAGGTTATTACATTTTACAGTTTCTTGTTGTTACTAAAAGTTAAAGTGAAGTTCTGTCCTTGTAAAGAAATCTGATCTTGTATTACATCATGTGGTAATAGTTTTCTTTGTCAATGCTGAGAAGATTGTACAGAGAAAAATACTGTGCATGTTTCAAGCCATTCATGAAACCATCTCTGTTATATTAACCATCATTTTAATATGTAGCCGAGCTCTTTCTAGTCACCCGACATACTAAAGGCTTTTCATATTCCTGAGAACTCCTAATGTACTTCAGCAAATGGTTTCCCGCTTTTCCTGTGCGCATTCCTCTTCCTAGCATAATATCAGAGCAAGTGATATGAAAACAATCATTCCAATCTGGATTAATAAGAAATAAGAGACTGCCACTTGTGTGCAAGCAGTGGACAGTATAAAGCAGCACTGAACAATGTAGAAACAATTAGTTTATTCTATCTCTTTACAGCAGTAAGTCTAACTAGGTTAAATTTTAAGCGCTAATCCAGTGATGCAAAAGCAAATACCTTTCTGAAGCTCCCTGTAAAAGGTTTCCAAGCAACTCAAATTCACATGTCTTATCCCCATGCACAGCAAAAAACAGGGTACAGCCCTTTGGCGGAGGTTCATCTGCTGCTATCTGTATGAAAATATTTGTGATAGAGTAGGTTAAATGTCTGCCTTTAGAACAAGCAAAAATGATAACAGCATAGCTCTCTGTACTGTCAGACTTCTTTGATTTCCTAAAGCCTAAACTAGTACTTCTTTGCTATTTATTACATCGTTTAAATGCAAGGTAGAAATTGCAAAATTGAGAGTTAAGTATTATTATAAATATTTCTGCAGACTATTACTATTAACTGTACTATTGATTCCAGGTACAAAAAGCAAGGCTTGCAATTGTAGGGTGTTTGATTGAGGTCTCTTTTGCATTACACATCAGAAACCTCTGTATTTGTTAAACATCAAATGACAAAATGATTCCAGATGACAAAAGGAAGAGGTCTTCTAGAATTACCTAAATAAAGCACATTATAATGTGACATAGTTTGCAATGAGTTTGAGAAAGAACAAAGTACAACTTATGTAAACATTAGAGCTATATATTTGTGGGTTACTACCTTCAACTAAGTACAACTGAATAACAGGGAAAGCAGCAGCAGCATCACAGGTTTCAACAAAGCAGCTCATACAAATCTTCACACAATTGTTAGTGCAGTGGGCATCAACGATACGAAGATATGTTGAAATCCCAGTTCTTCTGTCTACTCTACACAGATGGACTCAAATTTGGCACTCACTGAAATTAGCAGATACGTCTGTTACGCTATCAAATGTCTCCTTACACAGCTTGTTCCTTCCTGGGCTTTAGGTAATGCTGTATAAATCATTTGAGGTTTTCATGTACTAACCTGTTGAAAAGCTTGAACGGTTGCAGAATAAGACCGTAAAGCCAAGGAAAACTTCAACAAGTTCTGCTGCAAAGGTGACAGACTGTGGCAGGCTGCTTTCAGCATTTCATGGTAAGAAGTATAATCTGCAAAGTCAGAGTACAAGCAGTTTTCTTTCCATACCATATTCGTATCAAAGAGGGGCTTTTTATCCTAATTTTGATTACTAATTGTGAATCCTAATTGTGATTTATACTAACAGAAGCCCATGACATTAATTGTAAACATGCACATGTCCATTCCTCCTCAATTTTCATTACAGCCAGTTCTGCAGATGGATGAGAGTGACCTTCAATTGAAATCCATGACAGTACACTTAAATACACTGGCAGAGGACACAAACATAGCCTTAGGGAGGCAGGAAACAGTTAAGAGCTCCCATTTAATTTGATAAATAGAAACACAAATAAAAAGCATTTATAGTATTAATATTCCATGTTGAAATAGAAACTGGTAAGCAAAATACATTTCAGACTTACCCACTACAGCTTTTGTCAAAACAGATGTTTTGAGCACCTTGTAGTAAAATTATTACTGAAATCAGTCCTCATTTGACTTTTACAATATGAACACAATGGAAGATAAAACATTGTGGTTTATTTTTCAACCATGTCATCTATCAGTCATCATCCAGCAAAAAAGACCATGAAAAACTTACCATCATGTTCAGATGTCTTAATATTTTGACTGGCTTCTACAAAATTCCAGAATTTTTCTTGACCTTCTTCTGATAAAAATTCACTGAGTGAGAAGAGTTGAGTTAGCTACACGTAGGACTTGTCTCTCAAGTTACAACTGTGATACTTTGTAAAGCTTTACGGAAAGTTAGCTCCTACCATATGTTTACCTCTACCAGGCAATCACAGGTTACTAGGAAAGGTAAAAATGTCCCCAAACAAACAGATAATAGTAGCAGGCCAGGACTAACAGAGACTACACAAAAGAAGCTTGTAAGGCACCTGTTAATCTCTCAAAGACCCCTAACAGATACCAGCGTATATCATGGGAGCTTTCCCCTCTAACGCATTTCTTTGCGAGGTGTTTTTTATGGCATACGTTTTTGTTTACCTTGCTGCAACAAACTCTAGTTTTTTGGAGCTACAGGACTTGGTGAGTTTGTTTGCTTTTAAATCAGCAAAAGGAGAAGCCACAGCTTCAAATCATGATATTGTAATTCCCCATCTATTAAGCATATGATTAGGCAGATATACAACATTAAATAGTAAAATAATTCTCTAAACATTGCTAAGAACAAATACTTTATGCTGTCTAAACTTGTAACATGCATCATATGCGAATGGATGCTATAACAGAAGATGTAGAGCCCACTGGCTGCCACGATAGCTTTTGTGTTCATTTCTGTCCTCACCTGAGGTGGTAAGTACTTCTTGAACATCTGGGCGATGAATTGCAGTGCTGGGCTAAGTAAATTGAACAGCAGGAATGATTTTACACTGCAGTGCTGTATCATCCTGCAATTCCTCCCATATGAGCCATCCTACCTACCCAAAGTCTTTGAACATAATGGTTAGGTTATAATATCGAGCCTTTGGCACATGATTTTGATTATTTGCTTACTATTTCAGTCTCTTAGGGTGACCTTTTACACCAAAAATGGCTTGCATTGATGGGGTATTCAAAACCTGGCATATTATTGGAAAAGGATTTTTCAGTCCTCAAACTTCAGCTTCTATAGGGAAGGTTACAGAAAAGTAATTTCACCAGGGACACACCTATCCCAAAGCCAAAAGTTGTGCCTGTTTGATCAAAATCCATCAGTGCTCAGCTATTCTCATGTGAACCAATCTGTAATAACAGCCAGAATTTTTATGTGATTAAGAATTATTCCTTAAGTGATACAAAGTTAAACACACACACAAACATCTAGAAGTCCTGTTTTGCGTAGACATCTCCAAACGAGAACACTGCAAAATGAAACAATGAGGACTTCTGAAGTGCTAAGTAGACTAGCAGTGTAAAGACAGCGTTTTGCTCTCTGTTTCGTTTAAAATGTATTTTTACATGTTTTCATTTTAAATGTCTTTAAAAAAAAGAGGGGAAAAAGGTCATTAGTACTGTAAAAGAAATCTCCCCAGGCTGATCTGCACAACTCCCTTACCAAAGAAGCTGACTTTAGATAATCAATGCACAGTTCCCTTGAACAAAGCTAAACTCAAGCTTTACGTATGCAAGCAACAGCAGATAAGTATCAAAACCTACAGTCATAGTTGAAGTAAAAAAACTTCTACTATGGAATCTTATGAGACTATGCTAAACTTCTCAGTCTAGTGCTTTGAGTAGGTAAAACTTCGCAAGGTAAAAAATACTGTGGAATTATTCATTATTATTACTGTTCTCCTGCACAATGAAAGAATTTACCCACCAAAAACTACTACTCTAAAATATTCATCCCATCTCCCCAAGCACAGCAATGATCATGTTCAACTGAGTGTTACTATTGCTGCCAAAGAGTCAATAATGACCAGAGCCCAAAGCACACAAAACAAGTGAAACAGGGAACACATTAATTTATCCTCTAAGCATACTGATTTGTCAACAACAACAAAAAAATCACAATACACTTACCTTGCTTCAAGTAACAAAGGAGTTGAAGACCACTTTGTAGTTAGAGATGTTGTGACAGCCTTAGAATGTCCTCTTACAAGTGAAGAGCTGAAGCAGATTCCAAGAACTGCAATAAGTATTCCCATTTTACAGAAGAAGCCTTAAACAACATTAAGGAAAAAAAAGTTAGTTTTGCATTGTCTCTTTTTATAAATACAGAATCTCACACATCCAAATATGTTAAGGACTATTTTAAGATTCAGGGGCCCATTTAATGCAGTGTATCAGTGAGATAATCATCGTCTCACCTGGGCATACAAAATGAAAAATACTATGAAAACATGAAAAGACGCAAGGATGTTAAGATCTGACTCCTAAGCTGCAGTTAAACCTAAATCAGTTCCAGCTCTGTCTACGTTTATGCTTTCAAATAAACCTGTTTCTGTTCTGGGACACCCACATCACACACTGCTTGCTCTATCAAGAGGTATTACAAGCAGCGTGAATTTCAAAGTAGGTGGCAAAGCAGCCCACTGTCTGTTTTATGGGAGGTCAAGTCACATACTGTGTTTGCTGGTGTACTAACCAAGGTCAGAAGAGCCAGGCAAGGTGAAGGTTCCCTCGTCAACCCTTGAGGTTCTGCAGGGTACAGTGGACTTCTCTGGGGAGTGAAGAAACAAGCATTTCCCAGATGCACTAAATACCACCAACTTTAGAAGCTGAAAAATGAATGAAATAATGAAGACAGACTCAAATTATACAGCTTACCATGAGAAATGAGCCCCCCAAAAATGCCATTTCTTTACTGTCCTCCATGTGTACTTCCATGACCATATATTCTCTAACCTGTACACTACAACACAGCTGAGTGGAATTTCCTTGCCCTCAGCTCTTAAGCTTATGGAATACCTGAATTCTCCTCTTAGCTTTCCATTACATTCTCCAAAAATTCAAGTTTTGAGTTTTCTCCCGACTGGAGTATATTTACTACACACCCAACATCCACCCAGGCACTCTCTTACTTCTTAATCCTTATTTTTCTGGCTAATTCTTTTCCTATTCCATCCTGTAACTTTAAAACCAGCCCACTCAAATTCCAGGTATATCACACCTGACAACCTGCATCTAATTTGTCTCTCTCTTTCTTGATGATCTCCATATAAAAAAAAAAGTCTCATGTGTTACATATCTGTAGCTTTCTGTATCTCAGTGTCACAGAATCAGAGAATCGTTAGGGTTGGAAGTGATCACCCAGTCCAACCCACTGAACAGTCAAGGCAGGGCCACCTAGAGCAAGTTACACAGGAACGTGCCCAGGCGGGTTTTGAGTGTCTGCAGACGGTTCAAATGGTCATGGTTAAATTGTCAATGTCCTTCCTTTCACAATGAAAACGGAAATGCCCTGCTATAACACCCAAAGAACAACTTGCTCAGCTGCACACCTCTGCTTTACAGCGCACCTGGGAAGCAGACAGATGGCATCGCGTGACATGCACGGTTACACCTACCGCTCACTGTGGGCAGAGGAGGAAGCTCAGTCAGTATTTGTGCAGTGAAACCTCTGCTTCTGCCAAGCACAACAGAAAAAAACAGGTTTGCTGTCCCGTCAGAATCATGTCCTTATAAACTGTAGAAACACAGAATGGTTTGGGTTGGAAAGGACCTTAAAGCTCATCCAGTTCCAACCCCTGCCATTCCACCTTGTTTGGTCACTATCTGCCCTTGTCAAAAGCCCCTCTCCAGGTTTCCTGTAGCTCCTTTAGGCACTGGAGCTGCTCTGAGGTCTCCCTGGAGCTTTCTCTTCTCCAGGCTGACCCAGCCCAGCTCTCTCAGCCTGGGTCTGTAGGATTCACTGCGAATCATACACAGCTGTTTGGAACATGTACATGAATATACCATACTGCATTCTTGCCACTAAAACTGCTGTGCTGCTCTCTCAAGTCTGCTTTCCCATGCTGGAAAGACGGAAATAAAAGCCTTTTATTATGTGAAATAGGTGACAAACATCCTTTATTTTTTCCCTAACACCACTTTAGCAGCTGGAAAGAAAAGCAGATTAGAAATATCTGCACTCCCTGGATAACAACAGCCAAAGGGAAGACTAGTATCTCCAAGTGAAATCAAAACATGCCATGGAGACCAGAAGAGACAAGAGGCATGGGAATTCAATCATAGAATCAATTAGGGTGGAAAAGACCTTTAAGATCATCAAGTCCAACTGTTAGTGAACAGAAAGGACAGGGGATCCAGCTCTGTTCTGTGTGAGGTAACAAAGCAAACCCCAGTCTGAATTAAGAAGGAAAAAACTGCATTTGTAACTCTTTTTCCTCCAGTTAGGCAGTTTAAAATACGGCTGACTTCTGGGAACTTGTGCATCCAGCCTTGGGCATGGGAATAAATCATCCCACAGCCACAGGTCCTGCTGGGCCATGAGAGCACCGACTTCTGCCATGTCCTGTGAGGTGTGCCTGGCAGTAAGCTGGTAAAGGGCTCCACTTCAGAAAAGCTCAAATGAAAATAGACCTCCTGCTTAGACACTGATGCCAACCCCAGCATCAAGGCCACAACACTGAAATAACGTGTCTCAGCTGAGCCTTGTGAACAGTAAGGACTGCTGGTAACACCTGGAGAGCTTCTGTGAGCACGGGTATCGTGTTGCTGTACACATTCCAAAACTGAAACACAGCTTTTATCTGATAAGTCCAAAATCGCCTGCAGAGCTTTGCCTATGAACAGATGGTTCTAGTGACACCAGTCAACATCCAGCTTGATTTCACAAACCCCTGCCCAGTGCACACCGCTTCCGATGTAAAGCATGCTGCTGCTGATCCGCACCCACCGAGATAGGTACCTCAGTAAGTACAAATCGGGATGGCCGTTCGTCAGTGGCGAAGGGCGTTTAACCCCCGGGCGCGGCCCCTGCAGCCCTCCTGTCACTCCTCCCGCGCTGGCAGCAAGACAGCGCCGAGGCCGCACACCGCCCGCGGGGCTCACACCAGGCCACGCTCCGCTCCGCTCCGTGGTGCTGCGGGTGCCCAGCCCCTGCCGCCCGGTACCCCCACAGCCGGCCCCGCTACCGCGGCCCCAGGCCCCGCCGAGGCCGACCCCCGGCCCGGCAAAGACGCCCTGAAGGGCAGCGCCGGGCCCCGCCGCCCGCTCTCCGCGCCCCTCCCCCGGCGGGGCCGCCTCAGAGCGCCGCCGCGCGCACCCCCCGCCCAGCCCCGCGCGCGGGTCGCCGTGGAAACCGCACCTGCGAGCGGCCGCAGCGCTCCCTTCCGGCTCGTGCCGCTCCCGCCGCTTCCGGGCGCGCGACTTCCGCTGCCGGGAGAGAGGGGCCATAGAGTTACGCGGGGCCGCGCCAGACTGTCACCGTGCCGCCATCTTGGGGGGGGTGTGGTGTCTGGCACCGCGTACCCCGGAGCCTGCCTCCAGCCCGGGGTGAGGGCTGCATCGCCGCGTCCGGCCGCGCTGCGTGACCGGCGTCCGCGGAGCAGCGCCGGTAAAAGCGGCAAGCGGGGCACGGGCACGGTTCGGGCGATGCGGGGCCGCGGTTCTTCATTGGAGCCCGTGGCTCCGAACTGCCGCGTTTACTCAGGCCCTCGGGGAGCGGGGCCCGGGGCGCAGCGCCTCGAGCCTGTCCGCCGCACGGCGGGATGCGTAGGTAAGATCAGGACAAGCAGAGCAGAGGTTTTCCAGCATCTTTGTGCGGTGTCGGTTTAAGAAGCAGGCAATGCCAGAGGTAGAGGTGGAACCAGTGTTGCTTCTGTCATCAGCTGGTCTAGTTGGTAGCCTGTGCTCTTAAAAGGAGCCCCGGAACTTGATCACGCTGTGCACAGAACAGCTTCTTTCGTTCGCTCACTTGTTTATAGCGTAAATATGAGGGGGAATTGAAAGCAGGTAAAAAACAGTTGGTTTTTTATTCATCTTCCCTATACGTTTTACAGCTCTTGTCAGAACGCCCTCTGAACTGTCCCTGTTCCGGCCTGAGGATGCCAACCCCACTCAGCCGTTCTGTGTGTGCTCTGTGTCCCATTACCTGTGCCACATCCTCTGGATACTTTGTAGCATTACTGTGATCTTGTGTAGCCATGGGGATGGGGGAGCAGAGCTGCTCATCTCATGCAAGCAGTGTCGAGGCAGAGTAAAGCTGGGAGTGTGGCCAGACAGAGCACCTTCAACGAGGGTAAAGGGCAATGTCCCAAGGAGCACGACACAGGTCCTGATCGATGGCTCTTTGGGAGAGCAGTATCCCTCTGAAGTGAACCTAACCCCTGTCTGTGCCCAGAGCTTCCTCAGCACTTGCTTGCAGGGTTGTTGACAACACACCTGAAAGGTTTGCTTAAGCAAAATTCAGGATAACTCAGATGGGATTCTGTCATTTCAAGGTTTTCTTTCTAGTTTCATTTAAAAGCATTATAAAACCACTATAACAGCACCAGTTGTCTGTCTGACTTCATCTCTGAGCCTTAAGATGTAAGACCTGAATGGGAACAATGGAATGGGAAATAGTGCTATTCTGGGGTATGTGTGATCAAACACAGGGCAAACCTGGACTGGTGACACCTGAGGGCTGCAGTGTGCATTGTCACCAGGGCTTGTCGGGGGAGGTTATTTGTTTAACTTGTTTCCCCTCTGTCCCAGCAAGTAGCAAATATTTGATACCAGAGACAAGGGGATGTTGGAGTCTGGTATTCATTGGTGGTTCTTCCCGAGGCCCCTTTCCCTGAATACAGCAGTAAAACTTCATCCTCCACGTCAGACAGTAGTTCGGATCTGCTCAGCTTCTCAGCGCTTTGCGCTCTGTGAAGATCCTCACTTCAGAGGCAGGCGAGAAGCAAACCTCTCACCGAGCCGTTGTGTCTCATTCCGTCCCCGTTGTGCCTCGGTGCTGGTAGCGCGTCTTGCCCCGTGTGAGGGGCCAGCTCTGGCCTGCGCCGCTCTGAAGCGGTGGCGGGTGGGCCCAGGAGATGTGCCGTGGAGCAGGGTCTGTCCGGCGGGAGGAGCGGACGCTGATCAAGCCCCGCCATCCCGCCCGCCCCGCGTTTCCCGGGAAACCTCCCTGCTCGCAGCCAATAGCGTGCCCAGCGAAGGCACACCCCCGGCAACTCTTGCGAGATCTGCGTCCGTCTCTAAGCGCGAGGACTACATCTCCCAGCAGCCCTGAGGGGAGCGCTGCTGCAGCCAATGGGGCGGGGGGCGCCGTGGTGGGCGGGGCCGACCGGGGCCAATCCGCCGTGGGCAGCTGCGGCGGCGGAAGCGGTGCTCGGTGGTGGCGGTTCAGGAGACGGCTGCCGCGGGGCACCCCCGGCACAGGTACCGCCGCGGGCAGCGCGCCTGGCGCCGCGCCGGGGACCGGGAGCAGCTCCAAAGAAGGGTTGCGGGCGGGGGGCGACGGCCGCCGCTTCAGATCGGCCGCTGCGGCTGTCTCAGTGCGCGGCGGCGGCGGGGAAGAGCCAGTCCCTGGAGGCAGCGCCGCGGAGCGGGGAGAGCGGAGAGGAGAGGGGTGGGGCCCCGCGCGGCGGCAGGACCGGGGCGGGAGCGCGGGAAGGGACAGAGACAGGGCAGGACGGAGGAGAGGAGCGCAGGACAGGGCGGGCGAGGGCCGGGCGGTACGTGCCGCGGTCGGTGCGGGGAGGGGCGGCAACGGGGCTGCCGCGCTCCCGGGAACATCCGGGCCCTGCGGCCCCTCACGGCGGAACATCGGGGCGGGCCCGGG